TAATACTGGTATCCTATATGTATATTGTATACACGTTGGATATGTTCTCCGCTTCTGATGAGATTTTTATAAATATGTATATAATAATAATAATAAAGCAACACAGCTGGTAGAGTCCACATAATAATTATATGTATACATACGTTGGGCACTCGTTACTAGCGTATGCTAGGTAAGACGGCATAAAAATACATCTTATGTAATTATTATGTTATCGTAGATGAACATAATATTATATACCGTTAACATGAATAACGTTTAAAAACAATGTATAGTTATTCAACATGCCATACTTTTGACAATACAAATTATTTTAATTATACTGAATAATTAGGTTAGATAAGTTCATTCGCGGTCACGCCCAAAAATAATGCACATTTGTGAACGTTCAATTTACAAACTAGTATTGTTTTACAGTTTTTAAATCGTTACCAATGTGTTCAACTACTCCTGACCGCAGACGTGTACACCCTGATAAATGTTTTAAACGTGTTTTCTTAAAACATCAAAGTTAAAAAAACTTTTAACATTTAAAAGTTGATTAATACATTTAATGGACACTTAAACCACAACAAAACAACACCTAATCCGCCTAAATTATCCGGAGTTCAAATGACTTGCAAATACATACGAAACTGTTACAGTTATTAAGTTTCAGAGACAAGGTTATATTTACTTATGGCAGAATTGCAGATTATTCAAACCACATAATGTCCTACCCTGTTAACACCGATAGCATCAATTTATATTACAGTTAATATTTATTTATCTAATGAACACAAACGTTTGAAAATATTGAGTTAAAAAACATAAAACTAAGGTTTCTATCTAAAAAAAGAGCTTTTCATTTAAGCAAAACATCTTAACTTAAATAAAATGGATACCTACACAAGTTTTTTAGGGTGTAATCAAACCAAAATGTGTATTACTATTTCCGGAAATTACCAATGAAATGAAGAGGAAATAACATAGTATTTTACACAATATTCAAGCTTGTTAAAATTTGTATCCCTATACGTAATTCCAATTAAATTTTTTGTTTTTCAAAAGTGATAATAAACGGTTTTTATTTTATAACTCGTCGTGTGATATCAGATTGTTTACGGTTGGTGATTTTAATAACATAATAGTGTAGTATTATTTTCCTATCTTAAAACGGTTTAGCTGTTTTAGTACCTATTTCATAAAGAAAAAAATTATTTTCCTGTTTCAATTTATAAACATTTTCATTACTTGTACAAGTATAATCATGACCGAAAACCTTTATAACAACAATATTGTTATAACACAATGATAATAATATGAATCATATTATATGATGGAACTTATATTTAGTTGTAACGTGCTAATTTTAGTGTAATAAATAATATAATAACACCTTACACTTTTATAATATAGTACTGATAGAGAAATTTGTAAAGATAATACTTTATTTAGTTACGATATTTTATCCAATCGGTATTATCTGCAAACGTCTTAAAAATCTCCTTTCAAATTCTTACAAACATTACAATATATTTTATGACTTGGACCTTGGTTAAACTGATATGGGGTATTTCATTTAAATGGATTGAGATTATGCCTATATTATATGTAGCAGGTTGACGGATCTACTTCGTAATAATTGGGAACTTTTGAATTTATTAGTTTAAGGACTGTTACAGAGTACTTTAATGTGTCATGAAGTACTTGCATTACGAATATTTCATAAAACAACAATATATGTGATAAAGAAAGCAAGAAAGGTCCTTTTGTCGGCATTTTCCAAAATTTAGTTAGGGCTATTTTCTAATTCTTGATTAAATTTTGAACAACTTGAGACCTGGAACATCTTTGTAGCTAAAAAATTAACTAAGTTATAGTACTTTGAAGTTTACGGCTTTGTATAGACGGCCAACAAGAGGCCTTTTTCCAGAGATCGATTTATACAAATCTGTTCTGATGTCCGGCTATTATTCGATTCGATGTTTTGACCTATACCCTATTCGTAGAGACTCCAAGGTACAGTTAACCGATAATTAGTGGATGATCGATTTCTTGATATGAACTTTGTCCACATGAGGTCTTTTTTCGCTTTCCTTATCACGTAATATGTGTTCGCGATGGCCATTTTAACGTTCAAATTTTATAATAATTAAACCGTTAGACTAAATGTAGAAGATCTTAATATTTATTGTAGCTTAAAAAGCTTTCAAAGTTTAATTACTTCAATAACCAACTGATTGGTACTGCGCTTGACGTCGAAATCCCGAATTAAAAATGTTCTTAGACGTTGTGAGACAAAATGTTTCCTTTAGGAAATGAGAAGAGAGGAAATTTCAAAACAAAACACCGGGGAAAAGGTGTTGATCAGAAAAGATCGGAAGTTACCGTTTTTTTTTTTGCCTTAAGCCCATTACGGTCGTCGACGGGTGTAATTTGGTCAAGAACAATGGCTTCCGGTACATCGACTCCGGGGGATCCGCTCAGCCCATTAAGTTTTATCTCAACCGGCGCCGCCGTTTGTCCCTCTTCCCTTCACTGTATATTTTCCTTAACCAACCACACAGACACACATATACCTAAATGGCGCTGATTATATTCAAACTGTTGCATCCTAAAGTCAATAGTTTATATACACGGTTATTCCAACTAAGTAAATTGCCAGATACGGTTGTTGTGTGTCCTCCTCAAAAACTTAAAAGCCGTTGTCACAACAACAGCCATTTTATTGAGCTCGATCTTCAAACAATAGTCGCACGTAACCCATTTCAATTGATTTTTTTTTCTCAGATTTTAGAGCTTTGCCCGCAAATTTTTCTATAGTTAACAAGTTACAATAAACTCGAATGGAAACCGCTTTTGGAATAACACAACTCACAATTTTGAAACCCTTCAAAATTCTAATTAGCTGTAATTTATAATCGTCTAGAAACGTTTAAGTATAAAAGTATGTTAAGAATATTGGTAAGCTTACAATTAATAGTATCATACTACAGATAGACAATCCCGGATGTTTAAAATTAAATTTATAATAGTTTTGCTAAATCCAGGTTTAAATGCATGCTATTGATAAAATAACATTGACAATTACTATTGATCCATAAATGTTTTATAGGAAGAATTTATTATCCATGTAATATGGTTATAACATACTCAACAACGACTAGTTTTTGTATTTAGGGGAACTTTTAACCAAAGTTTATATTACTTAATTAGTGTGTATAATAGTTATTTTATTGTTCACCAGTTAAAATACAAATATCGGGTTACACAAAAGTTTTTTAAATTGAATAGTACATTACAATTGTAAATTAACGAATCACTGGCTGTTAAATTATGTTAAAGCAACCGGGAAATATTGTGTATTCTTTAATAAACATTCACGCTACTCGGTAATCATAACAAATTGGACAGTTCATTATTTTTCATAAATCACGTAGACTGTACTTTCTACTGCTTAGTTTAACATATTCATAGGCGGAGGATTTACGTTACACGACTAAATTTGGAAACTAAATGGCAATGATTTAAAATACAAAGCCACTGGATGTGAACGATACGTTTCATTTTGATTACCTTTTAAACAATTCAGACTAGGAATTATATCTCTATTTTACATACAAAATATAATGCTATGCAGATTATCCATCTTACGAATTGGATCTTACTTCTTTAAATCCCTTCGTAGTATTACATAACCTTATCACTATTATTACGGCTATATAGCTGCCTATGTTTCAGCAAAATAAAAATCAAAAAATAAATACCGCGGCAAATCGATAAACTTTAGGGCCGCATGACATTTTCGTGTAAAATTTATCGACTACATATTATTGCCAACGGGGCAAGGGCCAGGAATTTTATTCGACGACAACAATTAATAATAACAAAAGTAATAATCAAAGCAATTTCGGCACGACTACCAAACTTCTTGGCCATATTCTCATTTCGCCACAGCCATAACGGCATAACGCTATTTAATAATATAATATATTATTATTGATACACGAGCGAAAGAGGAAAAAGTCTGTACTCGCAAGTCGCAGCTCTTGTGCGTTGCTGCGAATTCCAAAAGGAGGAACGGAAAGAAAAATAAATTATACCTTGCACTCTTGGCCGTGTTTATCCACTCTCGGGGTGAAAAAATCGTAACGCTTGTATACGTGCTTGGGTCGATAGGATAAAAAGAACAAGAGGGGAAAAGATAATTCGCGTTTACGTCCTCGGGGCAATCGGAATTACAAAAATCTGTCAAAAGTAATAAAACCAAGAAAAAAGCGTGGCACAAATATAGTGATGTAATTTAAGTGTGAAGCTACCAAATGTTTTATCGGAGTTACAAACCGGTATAGACGGTTCCCCCAAAATGAATCTAACACACTAAAGTTTATCACCCATACTGGACATAATGTTCATCATATTTGTATAAAGTGAATTTTATTTACGGGTGTTTTGTGTCTACAAATATACCTTGTAGACAATACTTTATTAGTAGGGTAAATTTACTAGACGAGACATCCGAGACGTCCTGAGATTTTACGGATATGATTTTACTTCTTTTATAGTCGATAAAACGTTCTTTCACGTAGAATTTGTATTTTATTAATCTCTGTGTCGAATCTTTGTTAACATTTTCTAAGAATATTATGTAAGGAGGTTTTAGTACAAAAATGATTGGATAAATTAAGTGAAAAAAGAGGCCGATTCCCCGGTTTTCTACAACGCGACTCTTTGTTATTTTGTGTTAAAAATCACACGGAAGGCAATGCGACGAATCTTCATATCTTCCTCAATCCATCATACATTTTAAGTTTGCCAAAAATGTAAATATTGAACTCGACGTTACGCGCGTATTCGGAGGATAAGTCCGTTGCGTTTAAATAACAACATAGTTGAGACATGTAGTGTTCTCTGGCGGCCGTCACTCATCGAAGTCACTTGTTTTCGATTTCGACTATACTTACACCGCACGCGATCAATAATAACTATTGGTATAAAATATATCGGTTGACTCTTACCTATTGCTCCGGATATGGCTAAAGTATTTATTTCCGATTTCGGTATGTCCTCCGCCGTGGTATCCGAGTGGATTCGGTTTGTTTACTGAGATGCGATTTGAGGCACAGCACGCGCACTGCAAAGTTTACTTAAAGAATAAGATCACGAACGGACAAGGAGTCAACAGGGAGAAAGTAAACGATCCGGTCGGATGGATGCCCAGTCTGGGTTTGCCATCTCCCTCCTATCCTTATCCGGCGGCAATACGTTTCACAATAATAAAATATAATAATAATAATAACAACAACAACAACGTCCCAAGTTATTAATATAATAAGAATATTATTATTATTGGATACTTCGGGACGTGGTATCATACTATGACCCCCACAAACCTAACAAGGTAGCTTACAAGTGCACACTGTACGCGTTAATATTTTTGTAAATTCTCCACACCGCTTGATCAATGGCGGTTACGTCAAACGGGGATTTATTTTATGTAATAGCAGGGCCGGTGCGGAAAAGTGAAATTCACCAGATCTCTACCAGAGGGGCTCAAACAAATCTAAAAGTATATTTTCTGCATTAAGATTTTAGATTTCATGCACAACACTATTACCGGCAAAAACTGTTATTATAACATAGTTAAAAATATCTATTTTAAATAAATTGTTGCTCGTAACAACTAAAAAAACAGGTTTTAAGAATAGAACGAAATTTGTATTTAAAGTTTCCTTTGTCGAATCCTAGTCAGTAAATTAATATACAGTGTATGAAAACCGTATGAAAATAAAAAAAAATTGTATGGTAAAATGTAATATACATGGCCAAATGTTTTGTAGATTTTCTTTTTTTAACATATTTGTTTATGCTATATTATAGTACTAGACAATATTCAAATTTGTACTATACGATAGGGCTTTATCAACTTTTGAAACTTAAATGATATCCTACATATTTTATTAACTTTTTATATTGCAAATAATTTGCCGAAAATGTTAACTCGTCAATAACTAGTTCTGAAAAATTACTATTAAAGCTATTAAAATTTAAGACGGGTATTAGACGGGGGGATGGGTGTAGTATTATATTTTAACTGCGCTCATTACTCAACCGCAACCCATCTCCCGCCCTAAATTTCAAACATTAATAACTTTAAAAGTAATTATTCAAAGCTAGTTAACGTTTTCAGGAAATTATTCTCAGTTTAATATATATATATCGGTTACTATTTAAGTTTCAAAAGTTAATATTATAGCGCTCTGGAAAATACTGAAAAAGGTAAATAATATTTGGTAATTTTACGATATTGTACAAATACATAAATACAAATGTTTCCAAAAAGAAAAACTACAAAATTGTAATTATTAAAACACTGTCATCCCTGTGGACAGATATTCTGTCGTTTGGTTTTGTATTATGATTGATAGCGTAGCTCTAATATTATGCTAAAAGGGAGATGGAAATAAACACCAGTTATTATAACTAATACTATTATAAGTACAGTGGCGTAACTAGAAACTAAAGCGCCTAGGAGCAAGACATTTATTTAACGCCCTATATTACATGTTAACGTACATAATAAACCATACAAAAACGCCCTAAAATAGCACACACCTATGGACAGCTGACCCCCTGCACTCACTGTAGCTACGCCACCGTTTAAGTATACAGTTTATGTGTAATTTTCTGTGTTCATTTCTTATCGATCCTCGTCGATTACACCACCTTAGAGATGAATAATATAAAAAACTTATAATATTACATTACACCAAAGTACGAAATTACAAAACCAAAAATCTAAAAAGAAAGAACCATAAAATTATTATGTAAATTTTGTTTTAAATACAACAGCTTTGACCGAAATAATAAAAAACCAACACACATAAATAATGGCGTGACGCAGCCTGCAGGTAATTTCTCTGTGTGTATTATGACGCGTCTATGCATTCAAATCGCAGCAAATTATATAATATTTTAATGTCAGAGGTCTGTTCAACCATGACACGATTTTGAATTCACAGACGAATGCCAAAAACTACCAGAAATTGTATATTTTAATACTAAAAAACATTTCACGTCATAGCCCATAGGACGATCGAAAAAGGAAAACGAGTTTGTGACTATATTATATTTCATATAATATTCATTTTTTAAACAAAAACCACCACAGTACCAAGGACATTTTTTTTAGCTGACGTTTATTATAAATAAACAAATTTTAATATTGTGATGTTTTTGATCCATATAATATATCGCGTGTTTACCTTTTTCACAGTAACCTCTAAAACCGGTTTGGATGAAATGGTCGACCAATGAATTTCATATTTAGGTTCTAGGAAAGTTTTAAGTAGATGCTTAACATTTTAGTATCTAACAAAATACCACGCTAGCTTCACTGTGTAGTAATAAAATAATAATAATAGCAATAAGAAGGATTGTAAGTTGTAACGCACTATTGACTTAAAAAGTTCAAAATCAATTCAACAATTCTTATTGTGTTTGCTTTATTGTACTGGTTTACTCTGGTACTTGGTTTCTATTAAAAAAATAAAACCAATTTATCGATTACTATGAAAATGGTGACTTATTATTGGACATTTAACTTGCACCCATTTAGCCTCATTTAATTTTTGGAAGTGATTTTAATTAATATTTTGTAATAGTCTTTGTTTTTTTTTTACAAAAAAATGCATTTACAATGGCACCGTTCGCTTACAATAACCCTGCATGATCCTACTAAATAACTTTGAATAGGTAAGTATGTATTTACTGTACGAGTTTAGGATACATTTTTTTTTAAACTCATTTTGTATTTAAAAGATATAAAACTCATCAATATAAGAAAATTATAAATTTAATTTATTTAAACGTTGTTGTATACATAAAAAACTAAAACCTACTTTATAATTATTATCTAATATTTAGAAAATAATTTTCTACGTATATAATTGTATTATATCAGAATAATTTCAAATTATTTGAATACAAATTATTTTGTATACAAAATTAACAATTTTTCAATACACATATACAATTTTACTCTGGCTATATTTTCACTTTTGGTTTTTTAAACAATTTTCTGCGCATATCCGTATATTGTGTTTGGTATAATAAGTACGTCGACACAGCCGGTAGGTTTGCCTATCGCGTAAAACAATACAACTATCATATTCATAACATACAATTTAATGTTTTGGATTATTTTTTAAGTTGTAACATGCGTACTTTGTATCATGCGAATATGGATAATTGCCAGTTATTTTAAAACCACTTAGAGATTTTAATCACGATTAAGTAGTAGAATACGGTTACTGATTAAAATGAGATAAAAAACCAAAAACAATGTTACCTTTGATGATATAATCGTTTAATTACTCGCAATCGACATTTTAACTGTTTTTGAGGAAATTACTCATACAGTTTACAATCTTGTAGACCACAATTATCCTTTACTTTCTTTTTTGTCTTAACAATTTGTAGTGAACACAAATAAACTAATGACAAGGTTCAAAATTTACAACCGTATCTTTTTACTGTGGAAATTATTGTGGTTGATAATTATACTTAAATACTTCTAAGAAACTCTCCATTTTTTTAATAATATTATAATTAATATATTAAATAATAATATATTTTATTAGTAATTTGTTAATAATATCCTGTGTGCCAGAATAACCTAGTTTTATGTTCATCGTAAAAACATCCAACTTTGAAAGTATATAATATATATAATTATTGAGCTGGCTAAATAATTTTTGATAATTTTGTTTTTATTAAAACAGAAAAATCTATGTAGTTATTCGATTTTTTTTGTTTATTGAAAAAATTGTACTTATTTACTTGTCAGTAATGTACAACTAGGTATTATAAAACTTTATCCCGTAAACGTGCTCTTGCGACGATTCCAGGTGCTTTTGGAATTTAGAGATTTAATTAACTTCCAAAGCATACATACAAACACATGCATATTATATTATCATGCCCATAAGTGGTATCTGTCTTCAACGAACATTCAAAATCAAAACTCGGGTGTGTAATTTCATATATCCGCTATGTGAATTGCTGATTATATAATAATTAATAGGAATTCTGTCCTGATAGTATGTTTCCATATCCGTGAATATAATACCTACATACTAGCTTATCCTTAATCAAAACTTTCTAAATCAATATGACATCTATTGGGGTTCCGCCGTTTGTTCTTTATGACCTTAGGAGTAATTACAAAAATATCATTAAAAACTAATTATTATGCACTAAAATGTTGGCGAATAACAATATAAGAACACGTTATTCAGTTTAACAATAAAAATATAACAATAATTATTATCCCTTACCTATAGAAAATACGTACTACAATACTATTCAGTCATTAAAGTATTTTTATTTTGTACGGAGTACGAGTGCTTCTCAATTACACAAAACATGAAATAATAATAATAATATACTATAAATAATTATAATCAAATAGATTTCACTTGTAAAAACTTTTTCCTAGTGAATTAAAACTACTATAACTTATAGTTACAACTAACGAGGGTCATGTTACTATAAGACGTTGTATGGCTGAGTATAAAACAAATAATATAAAGAAGAGCTAAAAATGTGTTCATTTGAATAATTTATTCAAATGCAACGTGCCCTATTGAAACCAAAAATGCATGTGCAATTTATTTGTGTAATAAATTAGATTTAAATATCACCCATAAAGTTAATCCGTTTTATTAAATGTATAGAAGAGTTGTCTGCGAACAAAATACCCTTTACTGAACTTACTACTTAACGGCTATTTTATCGAATAAACTTATTTTACAATAAGTAAGGCCAGTCAGAGACCAGTTAGTTTTCCAATTTCAAAAAGTGATTATCCAAATTCTAAGGTACGGCATATAGATTCAATTTTTTATAAAATTCCCTTAGAATCCCGTGTCATTGTGTCCTATCATTACTATTTACAAAAAATACAAAAATTTAATGAAATATTATGACTTGGCGCGGTATTCATAGAATCCTTTGTAGCTAACTATAAAGACATGTTTAAAGATAATAAATATAGGGCATAACCCATTTAGGGCAAATACGAGCTAACGAATTAGTACAAACTGTTTGAGCTAAAAATGTCATTGAAAAAAGGTTAAGCCAAAGGTTTGTACCAGTCTTAGCACTATTTAATATACATTTATATTACATACTGATTGAAATAGTTATAACAATGTCTTAATTAACTACCACTTTTACAAAGCAGCAATCGGATTTTGATAGTCCTAGAACTTTTTAGATTTTTAACTTTCTAGTTGTGATAACTAAAAGTATATTGGGTTCGAGGTAGTACTAAAAAATGTACATTTCATCTTTTTCATTATTTCCAAATTAATAGATATTATGTACACCGGTTAAAGTCAAGAAAGATTGATGAGAGTCGAAAAATAGCACTTTTTTATACCCAAAATATTAACTAAATTTAATAGAGTTGCTCAAAGGTACAGCGTGGGTACAGACTAAATAAACACATAATTAGAAAATTAATACTTTCTTAGATACACATCGAAGCCAAAATAGTTATTTTAAAAAACAAAACAGTAACAACAAATCAAAAAAAAAAAAACTTCTTCAAACTAAATGGCCAATTTAATAGTAAGTAATTAGAACTAAACAAAGTCTGTATTCTGTATATAAGCAAATTTGAGTGAGCATAGCTCTTCAAAATTGTTTGTGTTCCATATGAATTATGGTGAGGGGATTTTGTGAAGAGATAGATATTTTTATCTCCACCATTTTTTATTTTTTGCAAAATTGCATTCCCGACTGTAATTTAAAATTTGTCAGACTATTTAAATATTACGTGATCAGTCAGTAACTAAACGAAAACCTTTAACCTATAGGCTCGTACAGAGAAGTTAAATTGGCAATGCAATAATATCCAATTAATAATTATACTTAATACAGTACACAAATATGAATTGTATTACAACACATCTACAACGAATAAGTAATACATAGGTACATCTTTATAATTAAAGTAATGTATTAATTATTATTTATTAACGGCGATTACGGACATAATGTATACCTACCATGAACAAAAAAAAAAATCAAAGATTAAAAAGGTAATAAATGAAAATACAACAATGTCTTACGAAAAACGTCGTCGATACATACAAGTAAAAATCAACAAAAGAGCAAAGTTAAAAAAAAAAACAAATAAGTAGGTGATCATAAAAATATGTAACAGAGAAACAATAAATTCGAATAACGTAGGCCCTGAAAAAAAAATCATTAACAATTATAATAAAAGACATTAGGATCGTTATGTTTGATAAGTATTTACTGTCAATTACAAACAATTGCTTATTGCCATATTGTAACTCTAAAAGAGAACGTTTGTTTCGACGGCGTGGGAATCTGTGATTGATTAATAAAAACCCGTGCTAATCTAATCAAGCAATATTCATGCGCGTGTCATCGTGCATTCAGAACAGCTACACTCCCTAAAGCGGCATTCATTTTGAGAAAATTGCAACATTCATATTTTCCCTTTAGTTACACTATAAGACCTGCCTTTGTGCAAGATTTCACGTTTCTACCTATACGGGAAGTGTTTTATAATTTTGATAATGAGTGAGTCAGTAACAAAAATAAAAAATTTGAAATTCTCCCCTTTTGAAAATGCTCACTATTGAGGGCTCAAATTTTTACAGTATCCTAAGCTACTCGAGCATAATCTATGTTTCGAATTTCAAAAACTGATGTTAAGATGAAACAAAGATATGTGGGTTAGAAAAACTGAGTAAATTGGTTCGTGCAAATATACACTGGCATTGCTGGAACTTGGCCTGTCACACTGCCGTGCGCTCAGAAATAGAGATAATGTACATTAAGGTCCCTGGATACCGACCATTTTTAAGGAGTTTTGTATAGGCAATATTTAAGAAAAAAGTGGTTTTAATAAATGTTGACCATGTCAATTAATTTACCGGTTAATTTTTATACGCTCCGTGGTATTATTTTTAATTTAAATCATTTTGTCTATGAGTAAAAGCCGTTTTAGTAAATATAATAGTACATAGTTTGTCCATCGCACAGGCTGAACCAGTGATCCGAAGGGTAATCTGAAAACAGATTTGAATTCGTCATGAAGTTTACTTGAGATCGGTCAGCGTACTTTTTTCAAATATTATTTCAACTACGCATAAAACAATTTTAAAATAGATAAATATTTATAGAAAAAAACCATAAATAATTAATTTAATTGGCATTTCTATTAGAAAAAAAACATTCGCTAGTAAACAATTTAGTTACGACCTACGTTTTTAATAAAAATTGTTTTTTGTTGTGGTAAAAATGAAGAATGAAAAATGTGAATCATACACATGGGACGGCGATCTTATTTAAATGATTCTTTTATAGTTTTATTTAAAAGGCGAAAACGTCTAATATTATTATGTGAATCGAGCAATCTTGGATACGACCGTCGCACAGACTGGTGGTAAAATAAGTATGTTGTTTTGTGAAATTGGTTAACTAATAGATGGCTTTAGGAGTAAGGTTTTCTTAAATGGTTAATCTAGTCTACATGTTGATAACATTCCAATATCTTTTTATCAGCCTTGATTATTCTTATCATATTATAGTCATGATAATATTATGTTTTATTTTTATCATAATCTACTTTCGAAAATTGTATTATAATAGGTAAGGCTATCACTCTTCCATATTTTAGTCAACATAAAGTAAAACCAGTTTTAAAACTTGATTATTTTGTATTTAAATCAAATAGTTAATACAATTTATAATAAATAAATAATTGTCCGTCACTCACAACTACATATTTAGTCATGCTGGATGAATTAGCTATCGATTATTCAGAATATCTGAAAGTCGATAATACAAAAGAAGTAATAATATTGTTTTAGTTTTTATTATTTAATATTATTATTATTTAGCGTTTGAATTAAAATAATCTCATTAGGTCGGTGCCTTGAAAGATGTCATCGAGGATATGCTTACTCGGCTCGAAGAGTTCCAAACATTCATGGAAATGGTAAAATTGTGTCCTATAATTTACTAATACATTATTTTATAATATACATATGCTTCTATATTAATTATCTAGTTACACTATATTACCTACAAAATAAGTTCACTCATTAGAGAACTTTTTTTAATATAAATGAGTAAAATATTTCAGTGTTGTTTACAACAGAATTTAAGGTGTAAATGCTAAACTACAATAAAAAAATTATAATACAATTTATTATTATTATTATTATTCAGGTTAAGGCTTTACGAGTAGAAAGTACCATGATGCATTACGACACAATAAAAGGATTGAAGTCTAAAGTTACGGAACTGACAAACACAGTCGACAAACTAGAAAAACTAGTGAACAAAGTTGGCGAGGATGTGGAATTAGTCGATCAACAATTGACTGAAGCTGAATCTTGTATGCCCATTAATAAGGAAGGGCCTCTGAACTCCATTTTAAAACCGTTTTTTGTGAGTAAAACTTTTTATTCTTATACTTAACAAAACTTAGTTAAACAAATAACATAATTGTTTAGAAAAAACACGAGGAGCAAACTGCTGTTAAACAACTACTTATATATGAGCCGCCGACAATATTTAAATCGGATGATTATTTTTTACCTGCCAATATCCAAGATACACTCCAGACTGAAGTATCTAAAGCAGAAATGTCTGAATAAGATTGTATTAATGATTTTATTAGGTACAAAATGTTTTGTCAACAAGGTCACTGGATTGGATTACTTTTACAATTTAAATATTGATTATTACTATTTAAAACACATAAGTAATAGTTTGTTAAATCACACTAAAATAATAAATATCATAATTCTATTTTGGAATATATATTACTGTAAGAACGTCGATTTATTTTTCATATTAATAAATATTTTTTTTATATTGTTTAGTAATTATTTCTACTTAAATAATACTTTGTGGTGCCAGGTTATTTTAAATTATATTAATGTTTTATTTTAAAACTAAAATTTGGCTAATTTACATTGACATAAAAATATTTTATAGAACTATAGAATAGTTATTCTCTTAAAATTTATAATTGCTTTTAATGGTTTATAATGAAATGTTATACAGTAAAATGTATGGTTGAATAAACAAAATCATGTTTGTTAGGCTATCAAAAAAAAATTCAATTTGTACATTAATATTCTGAGAGCAAAAAGTAAAAATAATTCCCGTTAATATGAAAAAAAGTTTAGATACACATTTTTTTACTTATATCTTCTTACAAATTAAATTTTATATTAAAACTATTTACACATTTTTCAAAGTTTTTTCTGGTGCAAATGTATTTTACTGTGCTGTGACAAGAGGAGACAAATTCTTAATGCGTTTTGTATATGCCCAGCACTTCTAATTTATTATATTTAGTTTTAAACGTAATTTAGTTAAAAGATATAAAAAGTGTTGTATTATTATTGAACGAATTGCAGTGAACAATACTTGTTTGGCACCGGCATATTTTGTTATTTCTTATTATATATCTATATATATCATATATAGACATATGAGGGAATGTGTGTTTTAAAATTTGTGCTTATTGTCTATTTGGAAAGTAACATTAAGCTAAATTATAAATCGTAAGGCTGGAATGGTCATTATAATGACTCAAAGAATGGAAATGTGTACAAAAATAAATAATAGATTTTCATTTTTATTAAATTTAAAAAATTATGTTTTTTTAATGTTCATTATCAACTAAAATAAATGTTCAATTTAAGAACGATGAAAAAACAAAACGTATACAATTAGTAGAATGACTAGAAATGCTCTAGCGCCTAAATAAATAGATAGACAACTTAATCTACACCAAAATTAAACAATCCGTGGCCTCTACACCTGCGAATTTTTAGTCGTAAACAACTCATTCTACTTCAAACATACTGTTCTTAAGTATGTACATGACCAACTTTAAAAAAATAAGACGAAACACTATTAAAACACTACAGAGTAAAATTTCAATAAATTACCATATATTTAATTTGATCATAAGTAGGTAATATTAACAAGTATTAACACTTAACAATAAAATTGTAAAGGTAATTCAATAAAAAATAAAAGTACAATAAAAATAATCCAAAAACTGAATCAGTCACAACAGTCGCTGCGCCATTTTTTAAAATGATGCCGTCTTAGTAAACACACAACATTAAGTTTTGTCCGGAAGAAAATTGCTCGAGTTGGTGTAAAAGTAAAAAACATAGGTAATGATTATTATTTATTTATCGACTTGGTGATTTTGCTTCTGTCCGTCGCTAAGCACATTATATTAGTCATGTAAAAACTATAACAACCAAAAATTATTAGTGAACTAGAATTTGTGTTTAGCCGGTACAAAAATTAAACGTAATAACTATATTAAATAAAAATTTAATTCAAGTTTAAAACAAAAAACCAAGAATCCTAAATCAATTTATAGTCAAAATTATGCGTTTTGTTTTTAATTTTCCCCAGAACATTTTCTTAGGTCACAGTTTTATACTGTAATAATATTAAATCATTTTTAAATTTTTAATTGGCTGAAATAGCATTTTTTTTAAATCCGTATTTTCGGTTTCCCATCGCCACTTCAAACAATGAATGATTAGGATCGGATTAGGAAATTCAAAGTCGGCTTACATTTTTTTTTTTTTGAATCGAACGGCACAATTATATTCGGAAATCGTGCAAATAAGTACCACCCTAGTGTAGCCACTCTTCTGTACATTCACATCCTTACTATTATTTTTAATTTAAAGAAACTCATATAAATATGGTTATAAAATAAATTTATTCATTTTTGATTACTAAAATGATATAAATAATTGTTTATGATGTTTATATGGGCCTTCGGTGAAATAATTTATATGCGTTTTATTAAGCGGCTGTCGCCTGTAATAGTGCGCATCAAAAATTTATATTGAGCTAGCTTGATAGCGGTTTGTAATGTAAATTTCAAAATTATTTATTTCTGTAAGTAAAAATTGACTTTACTTGCCTCACCGTCCAAGTTTGTTTCAATTCTGACTTTCCGCCTTAAACCATGTGGTACAACATATTAAATTTATTTAAGTATTATCGTTAAAAATAAGATTATACCACTAATTGTTGGTATTATTAAATAATATTAATGTGTACATAGCAACTACATTAGTAATCATCGCCTATTTACATTTATTACATCTTCTTTTTTGAAAAAGGAAACACTTTTTAGGATCATAGGTATTATTTAGGTAGGTACAAGGAGAATAATTATTATCTAATATGTTTAAATACTTAATAGCATGACTACTTAATATATATTTATGTCTATTGACACTGTCGTCAATCATCATATCCCTATACTTTTAAAAAGAAAAACACAAAATAAATTAAACGAGTCGCGATTTTAATCATTTCTGTTTTATAAACCACCATACTAAATATGCAAAATATAAATTAGATTTTAGGGGTGTCACCCGTGTACAGTCACTAATTATTATACACATTTCATTATTCGTCATTGCCATTAGGCAAGTATCGCCTAGTAAAAAAAAATACCTAAGTACATTATATTTTGAAAGTAATATTCAGGTATGTAGTTCTGACTGTTGGATACCCGTTTATTTTGTACGTAAAAAGTAAAAGTATATACGTTTCTATACATTGTAGTTAGTACTTGCCAATGATTTAGTTATATCTGTCAATTCTGACCCAAGTAGTTTTAGAAACTTGTAAAAATATTAAAGTAAAGCTAGTATATAATATAATTATATAATTTTTTTCATTCGGCTGCAAATACATACTTTTGGTAAAAAGTGAAAATCGTATAAGCCATAAGTGAGATTTGTTTAAAATTAAATTAATATTAAAACAATTGTACCAACACCAGTTATAATAACTACATCGGTATTTTGTGTTAAAAGGGACAATTTAATTTACATCACCGGTTTTTTTGGTAAATAGAGATGTAATAGACGTATTATTTTGCCACTTAAACTTATACCTATTATCTAGATTAAACAAACTGGTAAAACGAGATTATATTATATTTTTGTACAGCTTAGATCAGATGTTTAGAGAATATTGTGGGCGATTACCTTAAATATGTCCTTACTAATAATTAAGGAAATACATAAAAGTTAGCTTTATAAAAAAAACTCCAATAAAATACCATTTATTTGATAAAATTAAATATTACTTAAAATGGACCATTTTGTAACGAATTAACACTACTGATGAAATGGACAATGTAAGTGACTTTTGCTAATATTGATAATATTACAATATTGAATAAACATTGCTAAATATATAATATAAGAAAACTTTTTAATATTATATAATTACTCTTTATTTATTATTATTTATTATATGCAACAAATAATAAAGGACCAAGGGTGTAATTCTTACGAAGAAACAAAGAGGATGACGAGTAATAGGGAAGAGTGGGGAATTGTTACAAACCAATTTCAGGCTTGAATACAAAAGAGAGACATTATATAAAAGTCATATAACATAAGTTTTAAGTGTCAATTGTTCTACCAGCGGGTGCGAAAAGGACAACGACGAATGTGCTGGTTTTATATTATTCACCTATAGTAAATATAATTTTTTTTAAATCATATCAGCTTTTGCAATTTTAAGTACAATATATTTTGAAACTCTTTAAAATAAAATTGAATGGTGCCGAGTACGAATTTATATACTTTTCTTTATGCGTTTTAAACGATTTTTTGAACATTGAAAGTGAGGAATCACATTAATTTAGGCGGGCAATACATAACAATCTTAACGTCGTTTAACGTCAAGTCGATATTGGTATATTTTATAAAAACGTCAAAAAGTAACCATAATGAAAACGCGGTTCGGTCCTTTTTAACGCCCGTAGACTGTAGTTCAATACAATACGATAATAAGAAAAACATTAAAGGAAAAAATCCACGAAATAACACATTTTATGCCGTTGTGAGTACATCTGATGGGTTCAAAAATCAAATATTGGGTCGTCGGTTTGAGCTAAAGCCGACATATTTTTCGTTCGCGGTCTCGGGAAATGGCGATGAAACGTTTTTTAAATCGAGCAATATTATGATGTACGAAAATTAAAAAAAAATAAAGAGTATAAGAGAAGCTCGGCGGCATAATGGACGTCTTACCTATACGTTCGCCCTATACACGGACGTGGAAATTTACCGATCAACGGCCAATAGGAGCGCGCTCGGTGTCACCGCTGCCACTGCCGCGATCGCCGTCGAGGCTCTACACAAGTCTTTATCTAACGGTCGCGGCGTAGTAGCAGTGAAAAGTTTGCCGAGGCCAAAATGCGGTGCTGTTTTCGGACTTAAAAGGTAAGCTGACGAAAAAAATTATTCTTTTATAATTTCAACGTGAAATGTACATTTTTTTTTTATTAATTGAAAATATATAAAAAGACGGCGTTGCCGTAGACGAAGAACTACGCGTCATAACCACTATTTTACTACCATATCTTCTCGGGTACGCGTTCAAAATTCAAAACGAGTACAAAAAAAAAAAAATTACTGCAATATAAATCATTTGTGATTGATCCGTGAGGTGGCCACAGGTCAAATAGAATAGTGATAATTACATAAGTATTTGATATTAATTCTTTTATGATTTTTGTTTTTTTATAAAACAAACATAAATTATCATTACCCGTTTGACCTGTACTCGAAGAAAAAACGCTTTTAATTTTCACTTGTATTGAGTATAATGTACGATAATATCATGAATGGTTATTATATTATTATAATATGGTCTATAGCAATAAGACACTCGCACGAGTATGGCTTTAACCCCGTCTAGTATAACAACTAAACTCAACTATATTCTGTTGAGGTAGGATGTTTATAAAATATTATTAGTGTTGTGCTGAAAAAATCGTTTAAGTATTTTTTTTTTTTTTTTAAATAAGGGATCTTTAATTTTATTAATCACATACAAATATTATAACGATTATATTAAATTTTCGGTAAAATCTAAGTAGAATTTAGAAAAACTACCCAAAAATTTGAATTTATATATGCAGAATAATGCTAAAAGATCAGTTTTTTTTTAAACGTATGTCCCATTTACAGTAAACTATGGTATAAACGGAAAAATATTCATATATAAATAATTTTTTTATAGAAACAAATATTTAGATCCATTCCATTTAGTAACACAATATTGCAAATGCGATTTTATGCTATTTTACATTGACATGATCTTATCGTGTTGAGGAAATAAATCATTGGTTAATATTATATAGTAATTGTAATTTATGGCTTAATTAAAAATGTTTGTAACTGATTAATTAAGTATCTAGTCCATATGATACATATATATTAGATATTTGTCTGTAAATGACCCGGGTGGTCGAATACCTTAAAACAATAATACATTTGGAAGAATCGTTGATGTATTATGAAGTTATAAAATGCTTTACAGTGTATGTATTTATTGAATCATTGAGTATAGCCAATTATCAGCTTAGTGCAAACGATTACCTTCAAACCGTCCAAGCCTCGCGTAGATATGTTTACGCCGTTTTCGAATTTGACCTTAGATTTTTTCATGCACGTATGGTTTATTTTTAATTAGTTTCTAATGTGCGCAAAACTGTGAACATTTAAATAACGCGCGTCGACTCATTAAAACTACCGGAATATCGAGAAGACCGCTTGGGCTGTGGATTTATGTAAAAACACTACCGCTGTAAAACCAAAAGAACCTGAATCCAATTTGTGCACCAATCTTGTGGAGCAAACTTTCGAAATGTTTTTAAACCGAAATCATTAGCGACTCTATTACGTATGTAAGCTAAGTACACGCAAACATCGGATCTGCTGGGTAAAAACATATTTAGGTGTGCGTTTTAGAAACGGCCGACGGCAATCGGTCCTTACGCCCCAAAATCGGTTGCAAAATAATTGTTTCGATCCGTATTCAGTAGGTATGCATTATCGGTGTATTGTTTCTACTCTTGTGTGTACCACAATGGGCATACCTACCGATGAATAAATACCGTATATTTGTGACGAATCGCTGTTAGCGCTCGCCCACTAATAGCCTGGCCAAATAATTTTGATAATAGTTTTTATAACGGGTTTTCTGATGAGAAATGAGCAAAGAAAATTATCGCAAAGACGCTGTTTTATTTTATTCAACGATCGTCTCTATGAGAACTACTAGAAGCTAATGTAGAGACGTTTTTGAGTCGACTGGCCAGCAGGAATAACACAAAACACAAATTTGAATGAAATCGCTTTTAAAATTATTATAATATATCCTAGCGTGGACGGACGTGGGATGAGTCGACACGTTAACGCGGTAAATCCTTATAACACCCTTTATAGCTTCGGCTTTTTACGGTACGTCGTTATTGAATGCCGCCAACAACTTCACATGTGCAAAACGTTTGGTTATTCAGAAATCCCCAAAAATTGTTCTAAAAAGTGAAAAACACATTAAATTAATCCGTTTGATCTCGAACTCAAACCGCCACATGTAAATACGTTAAATTGTCAGTAATCAGTACATAGAGTTTTATAAACAAATATTCGACTTTTTAATGTTACTGTACACGAATGTATGTATTTATCAAAATGTGTCCCGGGACAGATGTTACAGTATACAACAGCTCCTATTGATAAATAATGAGTTCAACCTAAGTCAAAATTCAACCGATTTAAACGGAGCTTTAAAATAAATATTATTTTTCTTTTAATCAAAAATGTTTTTAAAATACATTGTCCAAATGGGGTATAAAAAAAAACGTCCAGAAGAGTTTCCTATTGACCTAATCATTTTCTCTGTATTCGTCGATATCTAATGCTGTTTTTTATCCGGCTGTGATAGAAAGAACATGTAATGCGTTTAGAATATTTAATTAATTTTTTTCCCAATCTCGTGATGGAAAAGTTATTTCCTTCCATCGAAGTTTATGACCAATTCGGGAGTGTCTAGGCGTTCTAGGAATTTCGTAATATTAAAAAAATAAGGAACACAATAAAGTGATAAGTAATCCGAAAAAAATTGCACAATAATACTATGGTTCTTGGGTAAAGGTCTTATGCCAGAAAAAACTGTGAAAATAATATTATGTTCTTTAATATATATATTTTATATACACACACATATATATATATATATAATTTTTCATATAAAAAAAATAGCACTTATCTCAGTACTTTACAGAACAAGTATAAGATTCTTTAATATAGTATCTAGAAACAGATATAGCTCTAGAGAGTATCCCGAGATAATGTTTTTACTTCCGAGTTCCAACTTACACGTCTAAATAGATTTATTTATTGGTCAATAATATCTATTATCAGCTTAACATCAATATAGCTCACTTTGTTCAATCGCATTAATTTGTATTTGTTTTATTGTTATTATTATAAAACCATATATCTAATACAATACATCAATCACAGTTGTTAGGAATTATGCTTTATATATTTTATTTATTTTGAATAATGTGTTAAGATATACTTGAATTTCATAAATTTCTCATGATGGTAATATTTATTTAAATAATATTTAGATCTATTACTAAATTATTAGATATCATTTGCTCATAAATTATTGATTAAAGAAATCAAAAATTATTTCTATGAGAAACACAACGTAAATCGTGATTTTTTGAAACTATTCTGTAGATTACAATCTATATAGCCTATAGACACTGTTCATGTAACATATTATGTAAGTATTTAAATTGGTAATTTTTTAAAAATAAAACTATTGATTTAAAATGTAAGACCTATTATCTAAGCATTACAGATACATATATTTAATAGATGTTTAACCTAATCATTTGGGAATTTGTTGACTATGACGTCTTATTTTGTCTGTTTTTTTTTTCAACTCGCCAATAAAAATGACGATCATGTTTTGGGTAGGTAGCACTACAATAAACTGTGTCAACAAGATTAACTCTGTGTCGGTGTGTTGCCTTTAATAATCCTGGATTGTCAATGCATAATATTTCTCCAGTGTTATTTCGCTGATTTATACAAATACACGGGTATGTTGCCTGTGGACTTGTGCCGTTATCGGTTGTACAAATAATCGTGTGGAGAAAGGACAACGAAATTAACTTTGTAAACAACAAACTAACATATTATAACAGTGCCGGGCTAATAATTGTGTCTATTGCCATTGTCTACTGTCTTTTTTTATAATAAAACTGATTCCCTATTTTTTTTTAATATATAATTTGTGTGTAATTTTATTATTTAAGTAATGAATATTAAATAATCTGAATAATAAATAGATATAGGTATTGTAAATGTTATACTAAATAGTTGTATCGCAATTATTGTACAAGTTGTACAATGTTTTCTAGGAAAAATATTCACGTGATTTTGGTCACAAAAAAAAATCATTAAATTTGTAAGTTCTGATATAACTAAAAAATATTAGTACTATTTAATTTGTAATTTTCATCTTAAATATATTTTTATAGCTACTTCTATAATATCCAATTAGTTTTAAAAATTTGAAACATTATTAAAATAATGTAGGTATTTGAATAAAACCTAAACATATACGATTAGTCGTATTGGTATATTTTTAAAAATATCAAAAACAGTAAAATAAAATTTAAACTAGTCATAGTGTACTGTGTAGTTTGAAAGATGTTAACCTGAGTATTATATAATTGATATCATCCGGTTTTAGTTATGAAACAGTACCAATAAAAAATTACTTTTTTTAAAGATTCTTTATTATCTTGTAAATGTTCGAACAAACAAATTAGGTTTTTATGTTTGAAATATGTTAATTCAAATTGAAACATCTATTGCATGCTAAGCGAGTCTGTCACAAAAATTCTATATACTCACAGTCAAACCATTTATGAGATCTGAAGTAATTATTGTTTTTAACTTTTGTATATTAAATGACATTATCCAATATTATTTTTACTTAAATCACTGATTTTATTATTTTTATTATTTAGCTAGTAGAATCACTATGGTTAGTGTTTCTATAATAATAAAATTGAGGGGGTGCCTGTAAAAAAATACAAAAAAGTTAGTATTTGGCCAACCTTAATATGTACATATGTATATATATATATATGTATATATAAAATTGTAATTTTAGTTGGGAAAAAATATTAAAAAATAATTCGCAGAACGGACTAATCGATTGTCTGTATATAATGAAAAGTCTACAGACGTTCAGACTTCAGTTAAATATTATAAGCAGTTTTCGGTCTTGTGGATTTGAATGTGAATTTTCTGATGAATGCATTCCGAGTTTTCCATTTTTGTTATGCTGTTCTCGAAACCCGCAACAATTCTCAGTAACAGCCATATTAATAATGTACAAAATTACGTTTTCCTATAAAATATTCGCGGCCGTTAAACCGGTGTTATTAATAATATTATTTTGTTTAAACTTTTTTTTTTTGTGAAGTTCGGCTTGGCGGATTGGCGTGCTGATTTTTCGAGCCTCCTGTATTCGATAAATCGCCACTTCCGGCCACGTTTTTTTATTTTATATACATATATAAAATAAAATTATTCATACATCTCATCTCATACGAGATGAGTACAAAATAAAAAAAAAAACATCTATATTATTATTATTATTATTTATTTATATGCAGAAACGTTTGTGTCGGCCACAGTACAGTGGTGGCGGTGTGCGTGGGAGAGTAACGTACCTATGTATACCTACGGTTTGCAAGTAAGCACGCGGGCGTTCGGGTTTATTGTCATTTTGTCGCGTATTTATCGGCTAGTGTATGTGTGTTTGATCGATACGAAAAAAAAACTTTATTAAACTCGATGTCCTATATGTATTAATTTTAAGGAATACGTTGTATGTATAGTGTTTTCTCTCCCCGTGCATGATAGCGAATCGCTTGGAATCGAGGAATTTCGAAAACATACTCGTGACAGCTCGGGATGAAACAGTAAAAAAAGATGAACAGACAAAGAGTTGAATCTTGTTGTGTTCGGATAAACCGCTTGATTATTTGTGTTCGCGCCGTTCCCATGTAATATCTACGTACCACAAACACATACAATATAATTTAATACACGTATGTGAATGCGCGGGCGGTAGTTTTCTATTATTTTGTTATGATGTACAGTGTACACGTTAGTACCTACTGCAGGCGTTGAATGGCGTTCGCCACGTGTGTACAGGTGCGTGTATTTAGAAGATATAAAATAAATAATGTAATAATAATATCATAACGTAATATGTAATATCCAGTTTTATACTGTACCAGTGTACGCACACATTCCACAAGAGTGGACAATGTATGAAATACTTATATTTTAATACGTATCTACCTACAGCCCAGTTGAATAAATAAACTAAATGTTTGAGTTGCCGTATAAAAATAACTACCATATGAATGTAACTCATTTCAAAAGTAAAAGATCTGCCCGTTTCATTAATAGTTTAAACATTTTCTTTCAAAAAATATACAGAACATAGATTCTGTAAGTTCACTTGACCGTTTTTTTATTGCAAATTAAAAATTACCTTTCTCTCTCAATTTTATTTTGTTTTTGTAAATTATATACATATTATTTTTTCTTTTGCAAACACATCACATCTTTTCCGGACAAGGTATTGTTTAGAAAGTTAAAAATGTGTTCTAATCAAAACATCAAATCGTAAATTATTATTTTTAAGAAAATTCTAGGAATCACGCATTGAAAAAGACTCGTTTGTATGCATGCTTATCAATAATAATCTTTTAATAAATACAGATTAAAAAAATTAAAGTAATAGTAAATTTAGAGTTATAATCGACTTATGTGGAAAATAACACAAACAAATTAATAAATAAGTAGATGAAAAAATAAGATTTGTGCATTTTCTCTTTTTTTTTGCTTGTACTCTACTGCACAAAAAAACATTAATAACAATATAACACACCAGTACATCTTGGTACTATTAACCCATTACGTTAGTTCACCCAAAAGGGTGGATGGGAACAAGATGAGTTGAAGAGGTTACACCGATAATTAGTCTATTCAGATTTAAATTAACTGGTACCGTTATACATTTTTTCCATATCTCTGCAGTCTGCAATATAAATTTTAGTTTATTATTATTTGTTTATTGACTTGTGCTCGTTTAGTGTCACAGTGCTGACGTCATTATGGATTATGGAGGGATAGAGAGATAGTCAAATGAATTTGTTAGGCACTTACTTACTGGCGAACCATGGCAATTGATTTTTGAGAAATGTTAATTATTGATAAATGTTGCCAGTAAATTGATATTATAAAACCAGATATTATAAACTACTAAAAACGTTTGGCCAAAAAAATATAATTAAGACTATACACTATCATCATATATCTCAAGGAGATTATAGATCAGAAATAATCATATAATTATCAGGACATATCCATGTGTTGATGTATCGGCATGAAATGTGGATACTCTTAACAGAGTTTACTCAGTTTTAAAAGTTAAAATCGAGAAAAACATCCTAAGAACTATTTTTTTTTATGTTTTAAGTTTGAGTCTTGGTAATTACTATAATTAATTAATTAACGGAGATACAGAAAAGGGAAATCGTTCCGTACTTTAGTTTATTTTGTATTTTAAAATAATATGATTGATTATCAGCAACACCTCGAGTTCCAAGTTGTATCTAAATTCGAAAACCGGCGACGTAAGACACACGGTCGATTAGTGAACAACAATAACGGAAGGAGCACTCTGCACACAAACACATGCGTAGTTAGGTACTGTGAAATGTAAACTTTTTAAAGAAACCTTTGTCACGCACGTGACATTGTGGTGACGACTGACGAGAGTTAATATAGAGACGTTGTCCGTGATTTCATACTAAAGTATGAGATCATTAAAAAAAAAAAAAACGACTACAATTCGTAACAGAAATACAGACTTTTAGGTATTTATTTTTTTATTAAGTGACGCCTTATGGTTACGTTATTTTAATCATTGCGAAAATATTTTTTTTGGGTACATAGATTTGTTGTTTAATTATCCTATGGGCGAAAATGTTCTAATATTAGTCAGGTAAATTAATTTTAACGATTTGAGATGTTAACCACGTATAAACGGTTTACTGTGAGGGATAGAAAAATTAAAATTTCATCATCAATAATAATATGTAATGATTGACATTTTATGCACAACGATGCTTTCTAAATCTGAGTCTAATTGTGATATTAGACAGATTTTACTCAACAACTGTCCTACATAAATTATATGTTTCTTTCTAATGCAAATACCATTAAACAGTACGACCTTCAGAACTTAATAGGTATAACTTCCAACCTTATAATGTTAAAATTGACTATGGGAATAATATTACCGTTATTTTCATTATCATTTTTATGATAATTCATATATTATAAAGAATAGAATGTTTTCCCTTACTAAAAGTCCTAACGTATATTGTGAACAACTCGTATAATGATATTCAAATGTATATACACAGAAGCTGCAAGCAGTAATTAAATGGGGTTATTGTTAATTAATAATGGATTGTACCCATGTTGGTCCTAACTTATCGTTTTCAAATTTTAGTTTTTTTTGTGCTTAGAACCGTCCTAAATAGCGCTATGGGGTAGCACCCATACACTCCTTTTCACAAGCAGTGCTTGACTTTAAGCAGGGGAAGGCTACGGAGACTAAGTACAAGAACAATTTGTCAGATACCTTAACTTTCAAATGAAAGTTTTTGTTCCATTTAAAGGTTCATCAGTCACTATACAGCGGCAGAAAGACAATATTTCCAATTATATACTAATAGTTACTCTATTTATTTAAACATATTATATTGTATAATTTTTTTTAATTAATTAAGGATGATTCGGTTTTCACCACTAGCAATTTTTTTTTTCGTTTAAGAAAGTATTGTTTCTAAAATATATATAATAATTTATTTTAATACCAGAACCTAACCTTAAACACTCATTTGTACCATACCTAACAGTTAATCCGTTGCGTCGTCATTCGTTTGAAGAACCTCAATTGCAACGTCGTTATAAGTAGATTATAGATATATGACTGTAAGTAATAATTATGCGAGAACATAACCTTTTTCTCTAGATATTACTACTAATATTTTCTTCCCAAGTCATACGCCGTACCTACCCTTGGACCGCCGCGTCGTGGCATGCTTTTGACGAACGCAATAAATTCCTTAGTACTTAATAATATGAGCGACGATGCTGGGTAGGTATACACACACACACACACACATATATATATATATATGTATTATTACTACAAAAATGCCAATAGTTTGTGGAAGTTAAGAAGGCGCGTATAATAATATAGGCCTGGCATTATCGAGTTTTCCAAAGTATTTAAGGAGGTCGTTCTCACAATGTATTTCATACACGTGGCTGCAGGCCGTTTATTAATTGTTTGGGGAAGTTTTAACGAGACAATATTATACACACGTGGTACTCTTCACTTACCGACAACACAAGCGTAGGTTCGCCTCAACGGTCGTCAGCGGAGGTCCGTGGTGCGATAGTATTATAAAATAATGACATTATGTACACCCCGTGTACTATAATAATGTACAACGCCCGCCGAGGCCTCTTTTAAATCACCCGATTGGCATTCATAACGTCTTTTTGCATTCTTTCCCGGCTCGATCGCTTCTCAGCCCTGGCACCACTCTCCAGTCCCCTACTCGCATAATATATAATCAACTTGTCCGATCCCCTTCGCCCACATATACCTTACCATTTGTCGACCGGCATACAACGTACAAGCATAGTAGTAGTAGTAGTAGTAGTAGTATTGTAGTATAAAATATATATATATATATAATAGTACTATGGCGGTGTCGCGCGAATCATTAGTGAAAGCAATAAAGACGCCGGCGAGCGTGCCGTATATAAGGTGGCGCATACCGTCGCAGCCGTCGTGCAAGCTTCCCAAGAATGCGGAGCAGCCGGGCGAATATTAAAAATTATCGAGTCCGTCCTATCTACCTCACACCCACCGCCACCGCCAATGTTCACCACTGCCGTCGTTTGTGGTGGCGGCGGCGGCGGCGGCGACGACGACGATTGCATTTAATCGTCTAGTAATAATATGTGCGCGAAAAGCGGTGGCGGCGCGATCCGTTCTCACCTTATTATCGTCATTATTTTCTAAAATCTATTCCGACGCGTTTACAGAGGAGGACCTTCGTCGTCTTGCCAGTCATCATCCTGCACGATGGCTACGGCGACGGCGGCGACCAACTCCGCAGTTGCTGCTGCTGCGGCCCGCAACGGCTCGTCGGTGTTAACTAATGCTTTGGGCAGCGACAAGGCTTCGGTGGACGGCGACCGCGGTTTCTTCGGCAGGACGGTCGGAAAGATATTATTCCCCGCCCGGTTGTTCGGACGGTCCAGCGCGACCGTCGACGACGAAATGGAAGAGTACGGCGATGATGACGACGACGACGACGACGACGACGACGACATCGACAACGACGACGAAGAAAAACAAATGCGAACGTCCATGTTGAAGAACAACTCGCCCGTCTACGAAAAAAGTAAATACCATAGTCGTAGTGAGGTATGTGGAAATAGATAGTTTTATAGATAGGGGAGGAGAGGGAGGGATAGAGGTTAAGGAACATAACTGTAACCGCAAAGTGAAACACCGACAGCGCAGTTAACTTTACAATTGTTCGGAGGATTTGAGCCTTTCACTGAGTACCATTGAAAACTAACTCTCAGGGTGTATCTAGCGTCTAAAGGGAGGGATTTAGATGACGCAGGAGGCTCTTGGTATAATTAGAAGGCCCCAAAAGCGGCACTGTGACGCAAACCAGAAATTACTTCAATTGTGGATAAAGAAAAAGAAATTGGCGACTTTGTATTATCAACAACCATATAAATTATACTTGTTTTTTTCTTCTAAAGTTCCATTCCTTAATTCATGCTGTTGGTGTACAAATAATTCGCAATTCATTTCTCAGAGACCTTGATTTTGGGATATTGATCTCTACCAGAAATAGCATAGATCTAAATTCTCGTTTACGTCGAACAAGATAAAGAGATCAGGTTAGGCTCAGGGTATAAATACAATTTGAAAGTACAACTACAAAATACATAATTTGTACTTAAATAAAATATTTAGTATCTTGTATCTTTTTAATTTGTTCAAGTATCTTACACTAAAAAGATACTGTATTTTGCCCATCTGGACATAACCTTCTTCCTAATTGTGCATTTCTCCTTTCTCTTAAGTCTTAACTAATCGCCTGTGTGTACTTACACAATAAATAATTTACCTGTATTCTACAACACATACTTTTTAATAGTTCATTTCTTCCTCACACAGTAGAAATAATTTTTTTCACTTGGTTACATATCTTCTGATATTCTTCTACGTATTCGTTGTCCTTCTGTTTTATACACCATAATTTTTTATCTCCTATAATGATTTCATTTTTTAATACTATTATAATTAGTGATGGAATTATCCCGTTTTTGATAAATACGATCAGTTTTATCCGTTTGACTAAACTAGTACCTTATTAGTTTTAGGACTTAACAATTTAATACTATTGACAGCTCAGTTCTGGTTTTGGGTATGATTATTAGTTATGTTATTCAAAAGTTCATTTTGGGCTTTGGTTCAAGGTCTTGGGGATACTTCAAAGCTAAAGTTTTCAAACATCGACATAGAACCATTGATAAACTAAAGGAGGCTATCCGCTAAGAAATCTCCGGGATTCCACTCGATATGCTGGCGAGAGTGATGGAAAACTTTCGAGAACAGCTCCAAATGTGCGTCGTTCGTCAAGCAATCATTTTGACGATATAATTTTTAAAGAATAATTTTAAAAAAACCTTATATAATGTAGTTTCTATAAATACAATTTTTTTTTCCACATCTTGTATCGTTTTTTTTTTAATTCACCTCAGAAACGTGGGAGTCCATTACGCCGCACCCTGTATAAAGCATTTAGTTAAATTTTGGTTTTATTACTTGTAAACGATTTTAATTTCAAACTCTACCATTATGCATTCTTTAGTTATATTATTTTTATTTTTCCATCCTGTAGAGTTGATAAAAATCACTTTAACTCCTTTGGTTTCAATCGAGCTCATTATAATTACTAACAACTACAAAAGAAGAGTTTTTGTGTGAAGCTGAGAAGGTTTGCTTTACTTGGTTATTTTTTCAGAGAATGTTTTTTTTATCATTTATCTAAAACAATTTAATGATATAACTTCATTTATACTAATCATAATTTAAGTTTTTTCTCGAAAACATTATATAACTTTTACGTTTCGATGTACGGATAAACTTATTACTAAAACAATTATGCACTTGCCACCTACTTGAGGTTTACAATAAAATAGGGCAGAACAACTTTTATTATAAGTATTTATACGTTTTTTTTTTTTTAGAAAACACAGAAATACTTGGTCTGGATGAAGGTCACATGGTGACCATAGTAAAAGATTGCACGATCGTTCCCGGTATCGGAGACACCATAGACCCGCCGAGAGAGACGTGGGAGAGAAACGCTGACTTCTTACTGTCTATCATCGGGTTCGCCGTCGACCTGGCCAACATATGGCGGTTCCCTTACTTATGTTACCGGAATGGTGGCGGTCGGTATACTTTATAATTTACTTAAGTATAATATTTATGAATTTTTATCGGTTTCAGGCGCTTTTTTGATACCTTACGCTCTGATGTTAGTCTTCGGCGCCGTACCCCTATTCTACATGGAACTTATCCTGGGACAGTACAACCGCCAGGGTCCCATCTCCGTGTGGACCAACACGTGCCCGCTGTTTAAAGGCAAATTTTCCGATTTTACACAAGCAAATTCATTAGCAAACACACTAACACATGATTTGCATTTCAGGAGTGGGATTTTGCGCCGTGCTTGTGGCTTTCTACGTATCATTCTACTACAACGTGATCATCGGATGGTCCCTGTATTTCTTGGCCATGTCCATAAACACATCGTCGTCACTGCCGTGGATACACTGTAATAACACGTGGAATACCATCAATTGTGTCGATCGAAACATGAACCAATCGTATTTGTTCAAAAACGGTACGACCTTGAGCGACTCCGTGTCGCCGGCCGCCGAATATTTCCAGTAAGTCCAACGCAAACGCAATTAATATCCATTGTCGTTAAAAGTAAGACTAATTGGGTATTGACCTAGAGAAAAATAATAAAAATTGGTCAAACGTAAAATATCTACAGATAAACAATAAAATAAGTTAAAAATCAACACGTTCTTCAAATGTTAACGTTGTTTTTAGTACCTAATGTTTTAGTAATTAGTTACTAATTAAAATTGATAATATGTTATAACCTATTACGTACACAGCTCAGATCAAAACATACTACCTTTTTAACTTGTGTGAGAGATAATTAAAAACTATACGCTGAATACGCGGCATTGCAGAATTTTAATATGCATTTTAAATGCAAACAATGTATATTACTACAAACAGGCCACAATACCCCACCATTGTATACACCCAGTACGTACTGTGAGTTAGTATACCGACAATTTCTACTGGCCAATAGTTATGCCGACTTGTTCATAATGTTTGTGTTTTCAGTTTTGCTAATTACAATAAGTTAATTGATTTTTTTTAATGTTATTATTCTTCGTATATTATGCCCGTTTATAACGGCTATTAAGTAAAGAAAATATTTATGTTCCAGCTACCTATAACTTTATCTGAGTGTTTAGTGTAGTCAGTTGGGTTTTCATTTGTGAGTCCACTCGGTTACAAATTAAATTATTTACTATTAAGTAATAATAATTAATAGTAATCAACATATGAACTTATGAATTATAATGCATATTTTCTAATAGTTATCATCGTCCATTCATCAAATTTAATTGGACCTTGAGCCTTAATTATTTATAAGTATTAGGTATAGAAATATTTTAGTATATATAATATATAATATATAATATGTGGCCATCCATGAGAAAAGGTGCCTCATCTTTCATTTTTCAAAATCGGGGGTTTTGCATTTGTTGTAGTCGATTAGCTGCTGATTACAATGGTGTCCGTGTCTCCATCACAATTATATCTCGATCCTTTCAAAAGTTATCAAGTTAAGGCTCCTAATAAGTTAGTTAGGAACAAGTTAGTTTTGGCTCTTTTGAACAATTTGCTTCGGGAAAATAAGCTACCTTTTCCCAAGGTCGGTCACATATATTGAATATAGTGAATATATTAAATGAATGAATTGAAGGTGATGCACGAAAGGCAGTATAAGGCATTTAATAAAGGCGAAAACTGAGAAGTATGAACATGGTGATTAGAGTGGATTATCTGACCGACAGGTTTTGGAACAAGACTATAGGGTGGTTTACCGTCTCATATATAGATTAAGTCAAAGATGAAATAGTAGATTGCTTATTAATTACGAAAACCCTTTCACTGATTAGCAGCTTGTAAAATAAAATCACGGCCTACAAAAAAAAAAAATGTAATCAACATTGTATTTTATTAAAATGTTAACTTATATGAATACTCTCAGTCGTGGAGTGCTAGAGATGAGCGAAGATGGCTTAGACCACGGATTAATGGGTTGGCCCAAATGGCAATTGGCTGTCTGCGTGTTCATTGTCTACGTCATGTTGTATTTGAGCCTTTTCAAAGGAGTGAAATCATCGGGTAAGTGTCACTGTTTTAGAATCAAATTCATTGGCAGAACAATTGAAAATAATTTTGTTTTCAAACAGGAATTGTCGTGTGGGGTACTGCCACGTTACCTTATCTTGTATTGACCATACTTTTAGTGCGTGGATTAATGTTGCCCGGCTCACTGACCGGCATAGCATACTATTTGCAACCAGAACTCAGTCGTTTACTCGACACTCAAGTAATATTATAATGCGAGCCTATAAAGGCTTTTATTATACTCTGTAGTTGCAGCAATTATACAGCAATAATGGTGTTCGATGCATGTCCTTTAAAACTATCCACAGGTTTGGGTGGACGCGGCTGTGCAGATATTTTATTCGGTCGGTGCTGGATTCGGAGTCCATCTTTCCTACGCATCCTACAACAACATCAGAAACAACTGTTACACGTAATTACAGTTAAAATTAAATTCTTAATACCAAAATAACTTATTTCAACCGCCTATGAAATATCGCTACTTAAATTGAAGTTCAAGGTATTCAAATAAAAGCATTAATGATGTTGTAGAAAATTGAAATCTTGAATTAAACAATGGCTCATATCTTATAAACATATATTCAAACATATTATTTTATCCGAAACTGTTTATCGACCAGTCAACATTTTTAGTACATTATTCTCAAATTAAAAAGTTAATAAAATATATACGTTACCATTTAAGTTTCAATCAAAAAAACTAAGTTGGAAGGAAGGGAAAAAAAAATAAATTGTGAACATTAGAGATCACGTTTTATAAAAACTTTATAAAAAAAAAAAATCACTTATTAATTAAACCCAGTGAGATATTGACTGGTTCATGATACAAATAATCACTCTGTATAGGTAAATTATTACAAAATCCATCATTAAAGTCTAAAAAAGAACTTATTCGTTTTTAGGCTAACAGGCAGATTTTAAAGTACAGTCCATTTCACCCTCGATCCACGATAATATAACAATGATTTACATGAAATATAACAATTATACATACTTTGTTCTCAGAGATTGCTTGATTACCACTGCGGTAAATTGTTTTACCAGTTTTTTTTCTGGTTTCGTCATATTCACTTATCTCGGATATATGTCACATCAACAAGGAAAACCAATTGACTCTGTTGCTACTGAAGGTATACAAGTTTTGATGCCAAATGATATTAGTTTGCTTTAAAACGAAAATTGTTGTTTAGGTCCCGGCCTCGTGTTCCAAGTATATCCAGAGGCTGTGGCTACGTTACCCGGATCTAGTATTTGGTCAGTTCTCTTTTTCTTCATGGCCATCACTTTAGGAATCGATTCTGCAGTGAGTATACGTTATAAAATCCCTAATTTAGTACTATACGCATTATCGTATTTTCCTCGATCAACTTCTCAGCAGCTTATTTCGTTGTATCTGTGTCATTATATTCTTTTTGGGGCAAATACCTCATTTCAATTATTGCGACAATGGGGGAGGTAAAAATTCTGACCGGCCCACAAATTAGCAGGTAAGCCATAATTGCCTCCACTCGACAGGAAGTCGTCAAAAATGATATACTATATAAAATTGCCTTTGTGTCTTATCGTAACATTTTAGGTAAACAAATTTTTATTCGAATTGCCTCCTGACAGTCCCCGAGAATATCTTAATTCCAAAAATATTGTATTTTTTAATAATAGTATTTACAATATTTTATGCTATTATAATTTTTAACCCAAAAAAAGGTGACAAAGTAACCACATTTGACAGTTGTCGTCATAGTTATTATTTGTGGGTATTCCGATATCAATGTTATTATATACTATAGTAGTCAGTGACGTTTATGGAGCGGTGATTGCGTGAGAAATTATTATAATTGTTATTTAATTCGTGTAAGGTTATGATGGGAGTAGTATTTCTAGAAATGCTGAAAATGAAAAAAGAACAAAGCCTTAAAATTGAAATGGCTACAAATTTAGTTCCCAAAAAAACTTGTAAATGAAATTCAACATGCAGAGCTTTTCTTAAGGTAAGCACCGGTGATAAAATCATAGTAAGTATGTTAAGCAAGGAGCTTTATAATATCAAGTATTAAATAAACAAATAATGAGTAATATAACTAATTTGATGGTTATTTTTAAATAATTATTATACACAATTATTACTACTATCATTGCAAAATACACACTATGAGTATTTATTCTAAATAACGTACAATTTAGTAGTGTGCAAATAATTGCAAGTGTGTATGTAAATCTATAAAAGAAAAACATTATACCTTAATTACTGTTTACCTGACTTAAAAGGGATCGCTGGGAGGGAATTCGGATATCCTTAGGAGGCAACTCGAATGAAAAAAAATTACCAACTCGCAATGGAGGCAACTAGTAGTATATGATACTAAAAGTTACAATAAAAAATGGAGGCAATTCGTTTGCATCCAAATTAGTACTTATTGGCGGCCTACACATAACCAGCCGGATACTCGGTCCGCTTTTAACAATAGGGAGGAATCAATTCCTACTTCGCAACGCTCTAAATAACGCTACTGTTTCTAAGTCCTCTTTCTGTTGAATCTGCTAGGTGTATAATGTATGTTATCGCAAAAGTCTTAAAATGTCAAATTGTATACTGCAGTCAATGTTTCAAATACTTGTAAACTATCTTTAATACTTGCCGGTTAAAACAGATGGGCGGTCTCGAGTGTGTCATTACAGGACTAATGGACGAGTTCCCCAGATTCTTCAAGCACGCCGGAGAAAAGTGTGGAAACTTAAAAAAAAGTACTTGGATCTGTTGGTCGCGTGAACAGTTCACATTTTTAGTCATTGCGGTGTCGTTTTGCGTGGCTCTCATCAACGTTACACCTGTAAGTTGCACGTGATAAAATGATTGTTATGTTGAACGCTTTTAAAACACCTTCTCTCGGCGTTCTTAGAGCGGTATATACATACTACACTTGTTGGACACGTATGCCGCTGGGATATCGTTGCTGTGCAGCGCGCTGTTCGAGTGCGTTGCGGTCTCGTGGTTTTACGGTACACAATTGAATCATTTTTTAAACCATTTAATAACCGCCTTTAAATTTATCTTAATCTATCCGTTACAGGACTGGAGAAATTTTCACAAGACGTCGAGGAGATGTATGGTCATCGCCCAGGGCCATATTGGCGGATATGTTGGAAGTTCCTCAGTCCTCTGTTTATACTTGTAAGTATTCTTAGCTAATAACTTAATACAAAACTTGATGAACGGCTTAATTTATTTGATTTCGAAACAGTCGATATTATATTGAAGTAATATTACCTAAATGTTAATAATTTCAAAAGTTATACTAAAAATATCCGAAGAAAATTGAGTACGTTATTATAGATACTAGCAATCGCTTACAATATTATCAACGCAAATAAGACTGCTTTGAAGATTTCATTTTTATAACAGCAGAACAAATAAACCCTTTTACGTATTTGATGCAAAATAGTGCGTTCGAACGTTTTCTGACATATATATTCAGTATGTGTCCAGTGACAAAATGTAATAGAAAGATAAAGAAAGGAATGAAGGTAGTTAGCGGAGAGTGTTTGGTAAAGATCATGTAGATTGAAGGAATAGGTGTCCGAAAACTAGGGGATGGTAAAGGGTTAGGTTAGGTTTCTAAACAGCTGAAGAAGATCTAACTGAAATTGTCTGTGAGCATACCCAAAAATGTAGTTGTGCATTTTGTACACATACAAATATGATTATGGGTGTCATGAGTCATCCATTCATTGGTTTGCGGGGTATACCGTATAAGACATAATACCTTTACATAAGAAACCAGTAATCTATATTTTAATTGTTATTACAAGAGCGTCGTGGGTTTTGCGGTAGCCGATCATCAACCATTAAAATACAACGGATACATATTTCCGGCTTGGGCAGAATACCTAGGATGGGGTTTGACCATGAGCTCTATCATCATGATTCCCTTGGTCGGAGCCTTCCAGTTGTACAAAGCTCCTTGCTCTTCGTTTAAAGAGGTACGGTATAAATGGGCAATTAGAAATTACGGATATAGGAAATAGCGTCCATCATATTTTGAGTTAAAAAATTAGTATATTAGTAATTAGTGCCTATGGTTTACAGTTATCAGAATAGTAAAGTGTTGAAAACACCCAATAAAAAATTACGCGTTTTATGTATATTGTTCGTGCGACACGATAAATATCCACAACACGAAGTGGCTTAAGTCAAAAACAAAATGAAATCGTAATCTATAATGATTATAGGTTTTTGAAATTATAACGTAAATTGTATGCCATATACGGGTATAACAAAGCGGCGATGTAATACAGTAATTCTAAACAATTAAAAATAGTTTACTAGCAAAATGATGGCTAAATGGTTGGTCATGTGTTGGGCGCATTTTACTACCTCAAAAATGTTGGACGCTATTTATAATTTTACTCTTTCGTTGGGCGTTATTTACATTTGACCGTGTACCTTTATACCCTTAGGCCTAACTACTCTGTGATTTAAAATGATCCATGACGTTTATTATTATTTTTTCCACAGCGATTGGCTTACACGATCACGCCCAAAGCCGAACTCGAACTGAGGCAAATCGAATACAACAACGCTCGTGACCCGGGCAGCGTAACCAGGTTCAAGCTACGTCATTGGCTGCATGTCTAACCTCAACAACTGGATTTACTTATTCACTCCGTTTTTCAACGGCAGATCTAAGTGATCAATGGTTTATCTAAAATAAAAAAACATTAAAAAAAACTTTTCAAACGGCACTGTCAACGTGCGAGAAGCAGCAAAGCGTCTTAAATAGCAACACCGACGCGCGAATCACAAGTAATTTTGTTTTTATTGTTTTTATCCTAAAGACGTTTTTACCTTAAGTTTTGTGTAAAGTATCCACCGTAGTTTCGTCGCGCAAGTACCTCTACCCTTTGTTCTCTTTTTGTACATCATTACCTTCACACGTTACCTAATACCTATACCAATAGATTATAAGCCACTATAAACCTGTTACTATATTCATAAAACCAACGACAGATCACCCACTATGATCTATCACGGAACTCTTGGAGCAATCCGTTTGACTTGTCATTAATTTACCATAATTGATAATACACATACACGTGTAAACGAACAACCACGTGTCCTATTAGGATAGGGGTCCTATAATAAATGACCTTGTAACCAATACAATGTAAACGGCCGTTATATGCTGATATACCTACTAACTTTAAATTATTGATTATGTAAACCAACTTTCGTACAACCGTATAGGATGATATAAACACAATATAAACGCAATACAGATAAAACGATTAACATTAGAGTATTCTCAAAATGCAACTACCGTCCCAGGCGCGGATCTAAGAATAAAGTGCTAATTTGGAGAAATGCTGTAAAACCTTGTAACCTTAACACACTCTTCATTTGTAACAATAATCGCGAATATCGATGATAACTGTTATTGGGCTTTAAATACAAATTAATCCAAGAATGATTAATCGCTTAAGTCTTAAGTTCTCCCCTTCCTTAGATCCTCGCCTGCACCACTCGCGTCACATTTTTCACTAGTTATTACAGCATTATATATTATCTTGTTTGTAATTGATGCTTTGTTATATTGTAGTATAATCGTATATATAAACGTATAACTATATCAGCATGTAAAAAATGTATGTTGTATCTATTATTGGAAATCGGTCAGAATAGCTGATGGAAATTCATCAAAAATAAAAGTAATAACTAATAAGTAATATGTTAAATGTTAATAAAAATAGGTCATCGATAAACAATGCATAATTATCGAGTGACTCTTTTTTTATGAATGCTTTAGTAATCTACAATTATAGTTTAACCTTGAACAAATTGAGCGAGGATCTAAAATCAATTCTAGGAAGCTTAGCCTTCCCAACTAGTTTTATGGTTATATGTTCTAGTGTTAATAATTCAGTTACAAAGTTCTGCTTTTTTTAAATAAAAAATGTTTTTTTTTAAATAAGAAAACTAGATGGATTGTACCAGTTTGAGTACAAAATATAATTTTGGTTTTATTTTATAGCTTTGCTAGAGATAAAATCGACCATTTCCTTTGTATTATTCGTTTGTACTATACTCGCTCAAATGTGTGCATTATTTTTAAGTCGCCTGTCGCCGTTATATAACTTAGTATATATTTTTTCGAAGTTTTGACCTAATTTTTTCACATTATATAATATATTTCGTCGTACTTATAACATTACTATTTATAATATATTATTAAATGACAGCCAAACCGCTATATTATGTTTACCATTACCTGTATAATAATTGATTGCATTTATCTATAATGACTTTTATATATTTGGGTTCAAATTTGTATTTTTATCAGATGTAGATAAATCACACACTAAATGCGTATCTTGTTCTCGGCGTTTATTTTTTATTATAATTTTTCTATGATTTATATTATAATCTCACAATGAGGTACATTTTCTACACTCCTTTAATTCGTACTTAGTACCCATTCAATATAGTATTTTACAATTTGTATTTTTATTTATTATGTGCCATCATCGATATCTTACAATAAAATATATCAGGGAATCTAGTCGTATCCCTCGTTTACCCTAATATCTAGTCTATAGTCTTTATCTAGAATATAAATTAAACTATTAATTTAATGTGTATAGTACCTACTACTTAACTGTTGCAAATTAGCACCGATACAAAATAATTGAAGTACTAAGATGGTAGATATCTATTCTTAACCAGCTATATATTACCAACTGACAACTAGATTTTTATTTCTACCTATAGAATCTACATAATTAATATAAGTCGTTATTGTACTGATGTAACATATTAAAAATAAATTTTAATGTTAAGAAAACACTAGTCGTTCTTTCACGTGGTTTATTAATATCTATTAAGACACACCTATAAAAAGATAACATATTTAATTATTATTTTAAATGGTATTGAGTACCTACAAGAAAGTATTACGTAAAATATACTAAACATCAAAAATCAACCTATACTGTATTTATTATTCACACTATCGTTGTAGAATGTAGATATGATGGTTGCGTGTCGATCTATGCAAAAGCGGCTACAAGAGTTCTTTTCTAAAAAGTGAGTGACTACTAGCGCTCCTTGTGGATAAATCATGGAACTTATTATCTTTCTCTGAATATCCAGTGGGTAAATCGTGGATCTTTTACTGATAAACCGGATGTTATCACAATCGCGTTACACGACTGAAAATAACAAACCAACAGAAGTCAGCAAATAGCACTGCACTCTGCAGTATTTTGAATAAAAATGTAGTGAATGTGTGCATAACATATTATTATAATTTTGTAATAATATAATATTAATTTGACAAGATTATGTTATGTTCTAGATTAATTAGATAGTTTATATTTTATTTTCTATATTAAACATTTAACATGAATCTATAAAGACATTAATTGAAAATCTAATTATTATATTAACATTGAAAATAACATCAAACTGAAGCCAAACTTTTGATAAGATTATAGTAAATATCCAAGCCTTTTAGAAAGATCTTCTCATTCAAAAATTCATTGTGATCGTGTAAAAGAATAGGAGTGTTGTTCATTGGTGAAAACCCTATTGCTGGAATTCCAATCTGTAATAATAATAATAAAAATAACAACATATAATATTGGAGTGTCGCAAATATGATGAAACAAGAAATGAACTTGATATGCCGATTAGCTTCCAAGAAGGGCTAGGAAACCAATCTCACAACATATTAAAAAAATCAAATTTTTTTAAATAATACAAATTTATGACAAAATTTAATCATTATATTCTATGTATACTATAGTTCTTATTTAATCATGTACATAGAAATATTGTAAAATGTATGGCTAACGACCTCAGAAGTCAAGGCCCTTATTAGTTATTATAATAAAATAACAAGAATATAAAAAATGTATACCTCTCTAATATATCGACTATCTGTTGCGCCAGGAAATATACTTGTTTTAAGATTGATATTCCTAAGAAACATCAGTCATAATTATTATTTATAGTAATTAATAAAATACATAATAAATCATACAATGTTATATCAAAAATTATAAGATTACAAACATAATATGTTAACCACTTACATTTTGTCACATTGATCTTTAAATGCAATCCAATAAGGATTTTCATCATTAAGTTTAGTCGGCTGAATACGAGCATTTTTTTCTTTGAACTCTAAAGTAACTCCTTCCCCAGCTTCTCTACACCATTGTTGTATTATACTTTCCATTACGTTGGGATCCACTTCGATGGCCAATCGTACATCAAAACAGACTGTTAATTCAGGTGGCACAACATTTATTTGACAACCTCCTTCTAATATTGTCAAATTGATAGACGTAATATCACCAGGTCCAAGATTACCATTCTTCAACCTTAATTTTTCACATTCTCGCCAATTCATGAATTTGTCAATAATAAAACGTAACTTTTCACCAGCTGTATTTTCATGAAGCAAAGACCCATGTCCAGGTGTACCAGTACATTTTATAACAGTTTCTGTTGATTAAACATTAATTAAATTAAGTGTATTACTCATTAATTTATGCAAACACCTATGAATTGTAATACACGTTAACCCTTGTCCACACTAATGAACTGAACCTCAAACTGCATTTTACTACAAGTTAGTGTTGCATTTCAGGGTTCAGACTTTGGTTCACTAGTATGGACAACACTTAAACTACAATACAACTTACGCCATAGTGTCCGTTCGCCATAGTACAAAGCATAACTGTCGTCAGGACTAGCCAAGCCTTCATCTAATGCAAATCCAATATTTAAAGCTGAAAACTCAGGCGTTTTCACAAACTTTTTCATACCAAAAGTTCCACCTATTTCTTCATCTAAAATTATTTAAGAATTGTATAAAAAAACTTTTACGGCTATGATAGAAAGAAATACTAACCCGGTACAAAAGAAACATGAATGGTTCTATTAAAAACTAATTTATCTCTTAAATATTTTCTAATAGTTTCTAAATATTGAATTCCAACACATTTCATATCTTGTGCTCCTCTAGCATAGATATTACCATCATCATCTTTGTGGGCAGAAAACGGTTCATAAGTCCATTTTTCCTTAAAACCACAAAATGAAACATGTAATAGTAACAATTCAATAAAAAAGTATAATGTTTAAACATAATTAATTATACAAACTGGATAAACAGGAACAACATCCATATGAGAATTGAGCAAAATAGATGGGAGATCGGGTTTCTGTCCAATCCATGTAATTATGATAATAGGCTTTCCGGGTACTATATAATATATATTGGACGGTAAACCAAGACTCTGAGCTTGTCGTAGAAGAAATTCAACACATTTACCTATTTACAGAATAGTTTATTCATATTTTACTTAATAATAAAATATAAAAATACATACTATAATCGACATCCGGATGAACCGAAGGTATACGAAGATATTCCCTAAAGTTAGTAACTGCTTCGTGTTCAGTACAATTACTAGAGGAAGACATTTTTTGTCTTTTAATTTTAATAATTCGACAAGAATGTATGCGATTTCAAAAAAAGTATAATAATTGTATCATTAACAAATATCAATATAGAAAGAACTATTTTTAGTTATTACGCAGAAGTAACGAATAATAATAACACCTACTTTATCATAAAGGTCTATGTGTATTATGTATGGTTGGCCTTACGACTAATTTCTACTCAAAAATCGACTTTAAAACTTCTCAACAGTTTATCAAGAAATTGATAAGATACTGCTGTACAGTGTACAATACTGCTGTACAGAGTGTATAAAGAATAAAAAAATCTGACCGATTTACGAACGTTTTGTAGTACAATTCCGTAAGATTATCGCGACACACTCTATATAATTATTATAATTTGTATAAATAAATAATAGACTCCATGACATTATACATCAAACATTCAAGATAAAAAAAAACAACGCAATGAGCATTAACGATTTAAATTCTAATCCATGTGTATTACATGTAGTGAGATATTATACATAATTTTTTTTTATTACCTACTGAATAATACTTATTAGACTAACTAAAAAAACAATTTTACTCTTACCCACTAGATTGTTTTTATTGGTTGAAAAAAAAATGCTCAATATTTCAGCCTTCCAGATCGACCATTAGATATAAAGTCATATTTTCCCTATTTAATTTACACGAAAAAAATGTCTCATAATACTCATTTTGTGATTTTGTCCATTTATCATTATTATTGTTATACATCCATACGGTTTTGACAAAAAAAACTTTTTAAAAATTATAAAATTAATATTTGCGTAAATGTTACTAATTAAATTATATAGACAATTATTAATGTATCGTATAGTATTTTAAAGATGAACGGACATTTTCTTCGTGTAAATTACGTAAATGAGGGTAGTATTATATTTTATAGGAACCATTTAGGATTGATTTCGAAGACTGAAATGTTGTACATTTCTTCTTTTCGACGAATAAAAATGATCCACGGGGGTAAGAGTGAATATTTTTTTGGAAAACCGAACAGTCCAATACTTTTACAATTATTTGTACCACTAAATAGTTTTATAACAAATTTACAGCCGACTTGAACTATAATAAAACCTAAGCAGTTTTCAACATTTTCTCCTATAATTGTTTTTAACATATTTACCTCCTTGCAATTATCTTTATAAGTACTTGTACTAAATGTGGTTAGGTTTTTTAATTTAATATGTAATTTAAATTATTTTTATAAAAATAATATTGGCTACACAATTTTTTAATAAGAAATTATATTTGATTGTATGTTTATAAATGTAGTCTAATATTCACATCTACAAAGTGAACTAAAGAAAAGAAAATCTTAAGCTACTATTTAAATTTCACTTAATATTTAGAGACACGCTTGTAGAGTAAAGACTACCTACTTCCGCTAAATTAGAAAGAAACTAGAAAAATATGTTACTTGAGATTTTTCTACAGTTTTTAGTAGTCTTCTTCATGTATTACCTACCTACCAATATACTAACTACACATAGAAACTGACTTATTGCAGATCTTAATTTAGATTAATAATCACAAGATGATGATTTATAAAAAGAAAAGTAAGTTAGTAATTTAATTTTAAATAAAATATAGTAAAAGAACAAATCGAAATTTATCAATGCATTACATTCTCTGGCTATACGATTAAGAGAATTATTATAGTAACCGTAGGATGTACGATGGAATGGAATTTCAAACGTGGGACAATAACGCGATTGAACAGTACTTCGAGATCTTAAAAAAGCGTCTTCCTCTAGTAATTGTACTGAACACGAAGCAGTTACTAACTTTAGGGAATATCTTCGTATACCTTCGGTTCATCCGGATGTCGATTATAGTATGTATTTTTACGTTTTATTATTGAGTAAAATATGAACAAACTATTCTGTAATTAGGTAAATGTGTTGAATTTCTTCTACGACAAGCTCAGAGTCTTGGTTTACCGTCCAATATATATTATATAGTACCCGGAAAGCCTATTATCATAATTACATGGATTGGACAGAAACCCGATCTCCCATCTATTTTGCTCAATTCTCATATGGATGTTGTTCCTGTTTACCCGCACTCTACATAAACTAGTGCTTAAATAATAGTTATAAATAAATATTGTTATTTTATAATTTTGGAATGGTATGAATAATTTTTTTTACTTTGCTTTGTTGTAAATATATATAATAATTTATACTGTAAATAAATTAACAGTTATATTTTGTCCCATGAGGAATTTTTAATTATATATGACACATATTAAAATAAAATAAATAGTTAAGTGTAACAAATTGGTTATACATTGATTGACTAGAATTGTAAAATATATAAATGTACGTTTGGTATATAAATTAGAATGTAATCATTGAAAGTATACAGTAAGTCAGATCAAATTTTGAAACGGTAACAATACAAGTCCTAAAAATCTAACAAAAGGGGTGATGTTTGTTCTTTTTCTGGGTCCAGACCAGCATCAAGGCATAACTGTGCCAAGTCCATGGCAGCAGACACTGTATCCCTTTTATTTTCTTCATTTGGTGGTGATGATAATGGAAAATCTTTATATACTTTGTTAGTGTCATTTAGAAGTTGTAGTGGCTAAAATATACATTATGATCAGTATTAACTATTAAAGTCACAATGAATCAAATAAATACAGCAAATACTATACAACACTTGCCTAAAGAATAAGCTAAGTTGTTATCTATATTTTTTAAGTGCATAGTAGAAACCAAATCTGGACATTTTTTTTTAAACAACAAATAAAAATTTGGGTTATAAATATATAATTTTTTATTAAATTGACAAGCAACTTCAAAGAACATTAGGTGTCTATAGTTTTTTTTATACATAAATACATTAAACATTTCAATTAATCGGTCAAGTCCTAATTGATTTTTATTTAAAAAATGCCCAGGTTTCGCTGTTCTTTGATTACATTTTGAATGAAAACATAAGATAAGTAAAAATAATGTATATTACTTTAATGTTTTATATTAATATATTCAGCGTTAGCTAGACCTCTTTTATAATTGAATACAATTAACACAATATAGCTCTCTAACTACATAAACATGATGCCCAAATGTTGAATTTTTTATCACACGGCATAACAGATAAGTTGCCTAGCATCAAAACTAGACAATTTCTATTCTTTTAAAGTTCAATATTGCAGTGTAAACTTCAATGCATACAAGTTGTAAGTTATACCACAGATTAGATATCTAATCTGTGATTATATTACAATAAATGTCTTTAATAAAAAGATATTTTCTAATAAATTAAAATTTTTTCTTACATCATCTCTACTCTTGTCTTGATAAAAATCACCAGACAAATCTACAGGAGGCTGGACAGATTCATACTGAAATGCTGTGCGAGTTAAATCCATTTCTATTGGAAATAGCGGTGCCTCATCACACGGACCACCATCAATGCCACCTCCTCCGAGCATTTGGCCCATTTCATGGTTATATCTTGCCAATTGGGACGCAATAGCATGCAATTGACCGACTACATCATGTACATGTTTGTTTTCGAGCAATTCAATTTTGGTCAACACGTCCTCTCGCAGTGCAGAAAATCGCTTTCTAGCTAACTGCCGGCATCTTAAAACTAGCCTGGAAAAAAATTCCGATTACAAAATATTAAGCTACATTATTATAATATTAGTGAAATTATTAATTACAATTTTACCTGTACTCATAATTTCCTGTTTCTAAACGGTACAATGGTTCATCAGCCGAACAATAAGTCATTTCTTCATCATCCAATTCTTTAACTTTTAAACAGTATGCAAGATATTCAAATTTAACATCAGCATATTTCCGTATTGTTTGTTTAGTGTCTGGAATGGCTTTGTGTAAGTATGTGCCAAATGATTTTGAAATCTAATAATTAAATACATAAACATTATTATCCTACTTCTTCATTTTTATTTTTATTTTAAAATCAGTGTTTATGTGTAGTGGGGCAAAAGTCTGTTTTGCAGAGTTTCCGAAGTCAAACTCAATACTTCATTAGTACAAAATAAAACACTTATAATTGACTTATACCCCAGCACCATACATGTTTACTTAAAAAAAAATTGTTTAAGTTTGAATACACTAATATAATTAATTATAAATGCTTTATTACAGGTTTTAAAGCTTTAACTAATTGTAGTCCTTGACGTTCCATTCGCCTGTGATACTCAGCAAATCGTACCAAAACTTGACTGGCTCGTGGTTGAGGTTCTCGAGCACCAATTTCAGCGAAGGCGTCTCCAAATTCTAAGTTATTAAATAATAAATATTTAATTATAACTGTTACATCTAATGATAAATAAACTAACATAGGTACATCACCTTTAAAACATTGAGTAAGAGCAAAAAATGAGCGCAATACACGGTCTGTGTGGTCTACTAGAGAGCGGTATGACTGTTCCATATCATCTAACTGCTGTAGGCGTCTGACTAGATGATCATTGACAAGTATAGCACGGGACATGCCCAAAGAATCTGCTGTAGTGGATGACATGCGTTCAACCAGTCTGTGTTTAACTTTTTTTAGTATAATATCTAAAGTTTTGCCTTGGCGGATATCAGCGTGTAATTTATTGTACTTCAAGATAACATTATCCTAGGTTTTTAAAGAACCAAAGAAAAAGGTGTTAAAATAGTATGTATGTGATTTCTATTGGCACTTTTAGTTTATATTGTAAAATAATACTTACTACACTTGATTGAATCATTTGTGCAACTTGTAGTTTTGTACAACCACGTACACATTTGTTATTGATGGCCAACAGTTCATCACCGCTATCCAACGTACCATCAAGAGCAGCAGGCGAGTTGTCTGAAACCTACAGAATGTTCACAGTACTAACACATTCACTGCATCTATAGGCTATAGCTTTTGGTTACAGCCGACACACACATATATATAAATATTTTAGCAGTGCCTTAGTCGGCTATAGCCTACATGAGGTCTATTCAATGGAATGTGCTCTAAAATGTTAACATACCGAGAGAAATTGTATTTCTACAATTTTATGAAGCATTGATCAGTGTACATCAATTTTTCAATGCAGCGATATAATAATATATCAGTGTTGATAATAATACAATACCTGTATGATGTATATACATGGGCAGTGTGGTGGACCACCACCTATTGTTATACCAATCAAATTGGTATTGGGATCTTTTACAATCGTCACGACACCTGAAGTGACTTTCATGCCCCTAAAATAATAATCAATTAAAATAAATATGTGGTAGATAAATAACAATTAAGTCTTATTACATTTTGTCCTCGTCCAAAGCAAAATCGTAATCATAGTCGAACATCATGATTACAGAACGGTGTACCTACAATGTAGAAATGCCTGTTTATATTCACCGACTAAATTGAATATGTAACTATTTATTCATAACTTAATACATAATATTATTAAATACGTCACCAGCGCCTCGGTTTCAGGCAATAGGACCACGGCTACGAAATTAAATATTTTTTCTATGACGGCTGAGTAGACCGTCAACTCTTGAAGATTTTTTTGACTTAGGTATTGATGATTAATAAATTATTCAGAATAATAGCTGATACATGTATATTGTATAGATAAACCAATATATTATCATAGATATGATTATAGAGTAAAAATATGTTTACTGATAACCGACTTCCGACTTTCCAAGTGTAGATACTGATTATAGACAAGTATACTAATATAAGTGGTATTGAGCACTGATAAATGCCCGACCTCCGACCTCCCTGTCTATCTATATTCATCTTATATATATCATTTACCATGGCAACTGGTAGAAGACCTGAATTGAAATTACGTATAGTTTCGATAGTCGAAAACTTCACCTCTTCGTAGCTCATTTTAAATACATAATATGCCGTATGGGTTCATATTCAATAGGGGTAGGTATTAAGTATTAGATAAGAATATATTTTTCTATCAAAAGAGCGTGGTTTTCCGTCTTTTCTTATATAAAACAATGATAATATTATGTAAACAAAAATAAAATTTAAACTAACTTTAAAATTATTGATTCCTTAACTCGCACAAGTCACAAGTATTGATAATTTATTTTATGGTTACTGTAAAGTAAACATTATTTGACTTTTTTCTTGCCTAAAAAAATATTTTTGTTTGAAAAATAAACCCAATTATTTTGCATAAGGTTGTCATTGACAATAAATATAATTGCCGAGTGACAAATTAATTCGTCAGAGGATTTTACAGGAAATATTTTAGAATAATTTATTTATTGTTTAAAAATCATTGTTATTAATGAATATTGTTCTCATTTTTTCACTACATACCTTAAAGGCATAAAAGTGACATACATTTACGATTCATCCTGTATTGAGCATATACAAAGAGATTAATTTTGTATTAACAAAATAAGAGGAACAGTAAAACAGTTAATACTAATCACATCATGCAATAAGACTGACAATAAATTAAATTGACAGTAGTGAGTAGGATAGAATTTTATATTATAGGAATTTAAATTACTTTTTTTAGTAAATACTAAAAAAATTAAACAAAAAAAACTAAACACCATTATCAACATTTATTAATTTAAAAATTATCAAATGTACATTAACTAGAATAAAACAATGTGTTGTTGGTTTTTAACATGGGTTCTTTTATTTATTAAGAGGACGTCATACACCCGTTATTTTCTTCAAAAATCCCGCCTTGCGTGAATTATAATTTTACAAAGGTTGTAATCAAAACTAAGAAACCAAATTTTCACTCAATATAGACAACAAAGATGTCTGTGCTCTACCATGGCCCTTTTTTAAATATTTCAACCAGTTAATGAATGATTAATTAAGAAAGGACTTTTTTAAAAATGATATAGCGTCGGTTGTTTGTATAAGGTATATCAAAAAATACAGATGCTGGAGCACAGCTAATTTTGGCGTGTATAATATGTATGAATTTCTTTCCTTAACTATATATGAAGCCTGAGAAAAATTAATCCGTGTAAAACTGTTTTGATGGTGGAAAATTGTCTATTCTTTACTCCTTAGAAATGGCCTGTGTCCTTTTAAGGGTCCTGTATCAAGGCCGTTATAACTTATAAGCAATATAGATGACACCTCGTATCAAAATTTAATAATACAATTTTTTTGAAATAGAAGAAATTAAAATTTAATACAATGTATTGTAATAAAAGTAACTATTGAACATTTTGTTTGATACTTTTTGAAACAAATCAGTTCATCCAAAACAAATACAAATTTACTAAAATCAGATTATTCTACAGGTATTATTTCTATTCCTGTAGTGATTTGTTCTGTAGTTTCAGTAGCCATCTGTTAACCACCAAAATAACTATAACCGTTGATTATAAATGTTTTAATATAATATTTATAATGAATGCTATAACTTTTAAAAAATGGTACATGTTAAAATTTATATTCTAAAACTAACACAAATTAACTAAAAAATAAGTTACAATGAAATTGTTTTTGACAAATATTGCTTATATCATATTTAGTAATATTACATATTTACTATGAAATGCTTAAATTAGTTAAAGCAATATTCAATTACATTATATTATGTTATATTATACATAAATTATCAATTATCAATTATATTATAAATAAACACAAATTGCATAGTAATTGTTATTGTAACATTTTTATCTAAGCATACAATTATTTTATTTTTATAAAATAATAAATAAATAAAAAAATAATTTTTACAGTATTACTTTAAATATAGTTGTTATTATAGCTTTTAATGAATCATTCTCAATATTACTAGTAATATTCATATGTTTTTATTAAAATTATAAGATTTAATAATGCGTAAAATTTCTTTAGGACCAAATAATATGATTGTTGATTAGATAACTGATAATTTTAGCAATTATAAATATATTTTATATATTATTAACAATTAATAATATATAAAATATATTAAGCATTATTTTTTTTTTACTCAATTTTATATTGAATTGATTATTTTATAGGAGGTATTTTTAGGCAAGCATCTTAATTTTTCCCTTAAAACTACGATACATGGAATTTTAGGATATTCTTTTAAAGTGACTAGTATATCTTGCCAAGTAAGTTTTCTCCTATCAATTGAAAAATCTGTAAATCCGGAAGATTTATGGGATATTTTTGGATAATTATTTTCAGATGTTCGTTTAATTAAGTTTTTTAAGAATAATTTTAATGTGACAGATATGAGTTCACAAGCTTCTTTTTCAACGTCAAGATTTATAGAACTGGAACAAGGGGCTGTTGTTATAATATTAGTTATAAATTTAGTATGAATTACTTCTTCCATAGAGTTGGGTTCAAAACTATGATCAGTGAATTCTGGCATTTCTAATGGATCTGTTTGCTGAATAGGTAAACTGGCCAATATATTTTTTAAATACATGTGTATCCGTTCCATAGGCTCGTTATAGTATTTATACTTTGTTGGGTTTCTTACGACTTCTTCATTTTCTTCTAGATTTTTACTCATTGTTGGCAACCAATTAACAATACTCATAATAAAATCGTTATGATATTGTATATGCTCCAACTTGATTATTTTTCGTATTTCTTGATCAAACATAGGCTTTGTCAAACTACCATCAAACCAGTAGCTTAGTATCTGATGATAATATCTCTTACAATTCTCTTCTAGTACCATACAAACTCTACGATATTTTTCTATAACATTACGGTCGTCAACATACGATTCAATGTCGTCGAAGTTCGAAAACCGAAACATTTTACGAAATAAAAATTAGAAATATCTTACGGCATCAGACATGCTAACAGACTTCGTTTAAACTTTAATGACATTTTTTTTAAATTTATTTTTAACATATTACTATTAAAAGGTGAAATATAATACTATAAATCAAACCTCTACAATAAAGTTAACACAGCTGTTCACTAATCACTATACAGTATACACTTAACGTTTATATAATATGCCATAGAGAATTACCGTTGATTATAAATAATAAATTATTTATAATTAATGGTTAATACTCCATGCGTTAACACCACCACTGATTTAGTGATTACACTGGTTACCATATCAATCATAGACCCTGACTTCGGTTATAGATAATTATCTATAGATAGTTTATCCACAGATTATATGAAAATATAATCTGTGGTTTATCCATAACCGTGACACAGAATCACCGACTTTTATATTTTGGCATACAAGGCCCGGGCGCGTATTACCAAACCATCTATAGCCCCGGGCCCCGGACACTGATAAAAATTGACACGCGGAAGATACTTCCTTTCACATAAAAACGCGGCGGTCATGTTCTTAAGGCTACACCACTAGAATGTTACATCTATAAATTATTATTTATTTCGTATAAGATCACGATTATAAAGAATAGTAGTATATTATAAAAATAATAATAGTCTTTATAATCGTGGTTTAAGTATAACATATAACACTAAATAATCCGTCACAAAATGGCCATCACTTTTTTGTTCACATTGAAAGTGACCCTTCTGCTTTCATCTATTCTGTGGTCATGCATAATATATAGTTCCAGTGAGGCAAAGCGCTGAACTGACGGCGGCGGCACTCAATGACGTCATGAGGCGATCTGTTCAAGCGTATTTGAGTTTCCAGTTTAAAAAATATGGTGCACGGTTTAAAAATTATTATATGTGTCTAGGTTCGTGACTGATAATCAAATGTTCAGTGCCATAAAATCAAATTTTTAGTCGACAGCACGATTTAAGATAATTATCTTTAATCGTGGTCGACAGCTATTTTTTTGGGACATTAAAAATGTAACTTGTTATTTTACTTTTGTATACGTTTAATATTTTTAAATGGGTAAAAATAGTGGTTAGTAATGCAGTATGTAATTGTAACATTGGAAAAAAATTCCATTCGTGAATACTTTTTTAATGAAGTCGTATTTTACATTTGTTGTATGTTATACATATCTTTACACATATTTATTGAGTCGTCTTTAGAATTCATATTCCTCAAAGATGAAAATATAAAAGAGACAAACAAAATAATGTTGTACAATTCATTAAACAATAATTTATACTTCTCGCCGCGGTATCACTGCTACGACAATAGTGTTCATACCAACCGCCCGTCATGCTACACTTTGATATATATAGAAGTCTGTAAATGTGGTATATACATTATGTTTAAGGTTTTGACCATTAGTGATAATAAGACCACGATTCGTTTGACAGTGTAGGCACTAGACACCGGCGAGGGAATCGTAAGAAGACCGTAGTCTGTAAGCGAATTTAGTAAGCAGTAAGCAGTTGCCGCAGAGTTTACAGTTTACTCTTAAATTCTTTTATAAATCGGGTTGAAAAAATACATTTTAGCATAAAATATTTTAAAAAGCCGAAATTACATACATTCAATTTGTTTTACCAAATCTATTCAACTCGATCAAAATAAATATTAAAAATTATAGGTTATATTGATGAAATCACCAGTGTTCATATAAGAAACGGTTCGCCTACAAGTTAAAGCCTGATGTATACATATATATATATATATATATGACAGTACATTATGTAAGCAGAAATAACCAATGGGGTTCCTCCATTTTGTAAACATAATCAAATAATCAATAAAAATCGTTATCATTTTTTTTTATTTTGTGTTTGATGTTTATACTTTATAGTTACAACCAAAATTGTCTTTCGAGATGCCTATTTTGGAGATTTATTTATGCCAGGACAATCGCTACAGTACTAATTAAATACTTAGTTTTTTTTTATTTTGGTAACTGTACAGTTTTTATTAATTCCTAAAACAAATAGGAAGTCAAGTAATTTAAGGTAATTATTCTATATCAATTAATCTTTACTGATTATAAATTTACACACTTGCTGTATTAGTAGTTATTATTGATGTGATATATTATTTCAGACATTAATAATCTGACGTAGCTTTAAAATGAATCGGCGGAGAAGAGCGTCATCAATCGCAAGTCGTGCGACTGATGAGGAAGTAGAAAGTTCTCCAGTCGACAGCATTCGCAAAAAAAGACGAGTGGATCCGGTATATGTAATTCCAAACTCACATTTTATTATTATAATAGTTATTTAATTTATTAATACAGATTTAGTGTAAATTAATTACCGCTTTTAACTATTTTTTAGGTGGATATAGTTCAGTCAGTCTATGACACGTTAAGAAATTTTAAAAAGGAAGATGGTACATTATTGTGTGACAGTTTCATAAGAGCTCCAAAAAGAAGACAAGAACCAACCTACTATGATGTATATAATTAATTTATTTATTTTTTGAATTGATTAAGATTGTATATTTTATTAACAGGTTGTTACTAACCCTATTGATTTGATAAAAATTCAACAAAAAATAAAAACTGAAGAATATGATGATATTGATGATCTTCAAGCCGACTTAGAATTACTTATAAATAATGCTAAATCATTCTACAAGGTAAAATATGATTTATTACAAATGTGTTATAAAAACATATATTTTTATTATTATTATTATGTATAATTCGAGGCAGCTTATGTCAATGGAAAAATTAATCAAACATAATATTTTAATATTATGTTGATTATTATTATGTTTTAATAAGCTTTATTTTATTTTATTTTTGAAATAACAATTGCTCTTAAGTTAAGACATTTACGAAGTCGGTACGACACAATGTGATCCTCAATAAATAGGCATATGATTAAATAGAGAAGTGTTGAATATCAAGTAGGAGTGACCCAGCTCTGCCTCAATCTCCGTAAATCCTGTGCTTTCTTGAGAACAACAACGCGTATCAGCCTAGTAGTCGCCTATTTAAAAAAGCTCTCGTGCTGATTGTTTTTTTGCTCAAAAATCGCTACATAAGAAAAAATGCCATGTCTTTTAGAGTAGTCTGATTTTAATAGTTCCTTTTTATTCAGAAAAGTAAAATTTTCAACTTGACACATTGTAATTATAATTTCTAAATTACATTTTTAATTACATTTTTACATTTTTTTCTAGCAGGCTATTTGCGCTAACATGAGTAGTTGCGTTGTAAATTTGTCAACAGTAATAGAGTTATTGATAATCGTACATCTGATTAATTTATTAAAAATGATAATGCAATTATTGTACCTTAAACCTTAATTTAATAATAAGCTGTTATAAAATAAAATGAATAAAACATTATATACATACAAATCATATACAAAAATAACTATTTAAGTAAAAAATAAATTATAAGTACCCAGCTGTTGTCCGCTGAAAGTTAATCACTATAAATGTAATGCTAATATTATTTATATGCTTCGTATGGATATAATTATTAAATTTATTTCCCTTTTAAATAAATTAACAACAAAAATCTATTTATAATAAAAATACAAAAATCAATTTCAATAGAAATAACTTGATCAAAATTGTTTTGAATATGTATAAAATAAAATATTATATTAAAAAGATGTTTACCAATTAATGTTACAATAGTATTTAAATTATTTCAAAGTGTGTTATTTTTGTGATGTGTAGGTATATATTCAATAATATTTTATTTAAATATTCACTATTTATAAATTAAACTATACTTGTACTTGTATCATTATTTTTTAGAAAAACTCTCAAGAATATAAAGATGCTTCAGATTTGTGGGATCTGTTTGAATCTACTAAAAATAATCTGTTAGATAGGGAAGAGACACCAAAAGAAAAACTAGTTTTAAGAGTTGGGAAATTAGTAAGTAAATTATTAGCTTAAACATATAAAATTCATTAAATAGACACATAGTAGGTAATTCAAATTCCTCATATTTTAGCAGGTAATTTTTAATACCTTCTATGTGTCTATATGTTAAAACTTATAGTTTTACTTTTTATAGTTAAAAAATTGTGGATTCTATTTTTGTGTGTGTATATATATATATATATTTGTATATATAAACACCCACACTTACAAATAACTTATTTTAAATAACCTAAAGGTGGGTACATACTAGAGCATTTCAACGTTGTAATGTAACATGTGTTTGTGTTTGTGTTCGTAACACTATTCATATATTACTTTGAACACTATATATTCCTTTGATGTTCGTCAAAAAACAGACAACCCAGTGAAGTGACCACGCGAACCAAGCACGCCCGAATGATACAGTAATGGCGTACACATGTGAGAATTACAGTTACATTATGCTGAAATGCTCTAGTGTGTACCCATCTTAAGAGGTGAAATCAGTAGTTACATTAAACAATTTTTATAATACTCATGGTTGCATATTTTATGTTTTTACATAATTAAATATTATATGATTTTTAATAGAGCTGCCGATTACAGGTGTAAGTAAATACACGTGTAGTTCACATACACGTGTATAAGTTTGTGTAATTATAAGTACACGTGTAGTTGCAAATATTCGGTATTCTTACAACTGTAAGTTTTAATAAGACCTATAATTTTATGTGATACTCTTCTTTAATTAATGCTTATCACTAAGATAAAGTATTATAGCCATTGGGTCAAGTTAGTGGAATTTTGGGTCCTAAATGTGTATTTATAATTACACGAACTTCTACACGTGAATTCGAACCATACAAACTTTTCCTACACGCGTAGAATTGTCGGCTTTCATTTATACTCATATATAATTACAAGATTTATGATTTTTCTATGTTAAACTGTTCGTAAATATTTATTTAATCCACTCAATATTTATTATCTAAGGGTAAAAGAGGAGGGTCATCTGCTTCAATGTCGAAATCAGAACAAACTGATGAAGAGGAAAGTAACTCTTCATATCCTGGAGGAGAAGAAGAATTAACAATGTATGAAGATTTATTTACTGCAGTTATGTCTGCTACTGATAATGATAACCGTCCGCTATCAGCTGCATTTCAACTTTTACCATCAAAAAAAGTGTGGACATAAAATCCTTTTAACATGATCATATTTTATGTTTTATCGTCTACAATAAATTTATTTATCTTTTTTTTTATAGCGTTATCCAAATTACTACGAAGTCATTGAAAACCCTATTGATTTAAGATCAATTGCTCGTAAAATACAAGATGGAAAATATTCTAGTTTGGCTGAAATGGAAAGAGAACTATTGTTAATGACAAAAAACGCTTGTTTATTTAATGAACCTGGGTCACAGATTTACAAAGATGCAAAATCATTAAAAAAAGTAATAACAAGTAAAAAAATTGAAGTAGATCATGGAAAGTATGCACCTAGCAAGAGCAGTGAAAGAATCAGGTAAAATAATAGATTATAATATTTAATTGCAAACATAATATAGTTTATTCATAAGTTCAATATATTTTTAAGATAATTAGTCAATTTAATTATACCTTGTTTCGAATAATTACATTTTGAATTATCAAGTTGTAGATGAAAAAAAGTGCACTTAAGTAGCTTAGTTTCTTGCATAACCAACAGCAATCAAATGGTGTCTTTAGTATTATTTTAATTTTTAAATGTCTGTTTTTTACAATTGGTTTCATAGTAATGTATAATTTAATTTGGCTTCATTATTAAAATTTAATCTACCTGGACACCTCCTTTTTTAGTTGTTTATAATTGTATAGTATTACATTACGTAATGTAATACCTATAACAGAAAACCGTTATTCTCATTTATAGATTGCCAGTATATGGCAAGTTTTACACCTGCGGGTATAGTATCCTCGTTTTGTACGCGGCATACAAAATTACATTACTCAAGTATAAAACTTATCATCTATGCAGATAATATATATATACACACAGTTTTTGAAACTTGCGTTTATTATTATCTAATATGAGCAACTTGTACCATACGCGTAAGGTATGAAATGGGCCTAAAATTTAAATGTATGTCATGGTATAATAGTACTTTTAATTAGATAAGATTAAACCACTCAAGTTTTCATTTGTCCAATTTCATGTTGTAAAATGTTTTTATATCTTATACATGTTCATATTTATATATATTTATAAGTGAACTGTGTCGTGTTTTATGTGAAATTTAAATTTAAGTAAAGAAATTTGTTATGAAAAAAATATTTGTTATATAAATTAATTTAAAATGTTATCACCAAGGGCTAAACGATTAAGAGGTGGTCAAACTTCAATGTCTGCTATTACAGCTGCATTACAATCTGAAGACGAAGAAGACTCAGATTTAGATGAAGATACTGTAACCGATAGTCAAAGTATTATCGATGGACCAGATAATCCTAGATGGCAGTTATACAATGCTGTTCGCTCTGCTACTGGACTTCATGGTAATATATTACTTTATATTTAAAATATGCAATTGCTTACTACTTTTGATAAAAAAATTAATAATGTTGCCTATAATAATAGGAAACTTGTTGAGTGATTCTTTTTGGAAACTGCCATCCAAACGATACTATCCAAATTATTATCATGAAATTCGTAATCCACTTTCGTTGATGCAAATTGGCAAGAAATTAAAAGTAATTAGTTTGAGTTATTTACAGCAAAGTAAAATATGTATGTATGTTACGGTCCAAGTGGATTAATTGGTAATTGTAATATAATGTTGTCAATGTATATACAATAGTAAAACTGAGGCGGGCAATGTAAATTTAAGACTAAATGTTTTAAAATATCGCACAATCAATGGTAAACTTGAAAATTATTACAATAGAAATCATCTTACAATTTTAAAGAGGTGTTTTTTAGTGTTGATGATTTACTCAACATTCAATTATCACTAAAAGAAGTAGCTAGGCTGTTTTACAATTGGGGAGGCCAAGGGTATGACTGCTGCACTGTGTCCAAAAATGTGAATTATTAATTAATTTCTTATCTATAAAAAAATTAACCAATTCTTAATATAAATTGAATAAATAAGTTATACTAAATTAAGGATACTATATTTTGTTCATTTAGCACTTTTAATACTAAGCATTGTACACTTGACCTAGTCAGTATATTGACAATTACATTGACTATCCAATTGAACCTGTAACATATATTGAAAAACAATACTTATAATATTTTTATGTAGAATGGAGACTATGGTACAGTCAGTGAAGTAGCCGGTGACATGAATATAATGTTAGAAAATGCTAAAAAATATTTTGCTTCGGATACAAAACAATACAAAGTAAATTTGATAAACTAAAGTTAATTTATATATTATGTTTTAGTTATAATTATTTCATGTGTATCTTTATTAATTAAGGATGCTGTAAAGTTACAAAAAATTATGCAGACTAAAGCTCAAGAACTTCTAGACTTAGGCCACCAAGTATGTGTTTTGAAATGCCTTATTCAATTAAAAATATATTATTACATTTATTTTTATATTTAAGTATTCTGATAGTGAAGACGATTCTGCAGATGATGAGTTAAATCAAACTGTTCGACATTCGAAAAAATTTAATCGATCTCCACGCTGCCTTACACGAGGAAAATATTTAAATAATATTCCTCTTAAACGGCGACTATATGCTCTGTGCAAATGTCTTATGGATTACACGGTAAATATTAAATAATATTTTTTAAATGTGTTATAAAAAAATTAATAACCTATACTATACTTTACTTATAATTAAAGACTGAACACGGGAGAGTGCCTATGTTAATGTTTATGGAAAGACCATCTAAAAAATTGTACCCAGATTATTATAAAGTCATTGCTGAACCTATTGATATGCTGACAATAGAAGAAAAAATTAAACAAGAAAAGTACAACAGCGAAGAAGAAATATTGAGAGATTTTAAAGTATATATTTTTTTTTAGTACAAGTGTTAATTTACAAACTTAGTTGCTTACATTTAATTATTATACTTAATTTTTGATATTAAAAAAAAAAACAATGTTAACAGACTTTTCATTAAGAATATTTAGTTATTTTAAATTTTAATGACTAGATTTTAGCATAGATTAAATAGTATATGGAACATGCTTTAGCCTTGGCCCCCAGCCCTAAACTAGACACTAAATTACGATACTAAAGTAGTGCACTTACTTTAAACGTATAATAACATATAATATGCCATCGAAATAATAACGAGTCGTCGTTGTCATGCATGAAGTTCATTACATTCGAAGAATTGACCGAAACGTTAAATATTGATAACTGTTGCCAGTAAATTGATATTATAAAGCCAGATATTATAAAACTACTAAAAAACGTTTGGCCAGAACCTATAAGTAAGACTATACTATTATCATAAATCGCAATGAGCTTATAGATTAGAAATAATCACTATTCAGGATCCAGCAAACTAAAGCATGTTCCATGTTTTGTATTTTTAGCCGTTGGCTTTAAGTAGACTGTAACTTTTTATTACTTCCGCAATAATAATGTGATGATGACCTTACCATTGCAGCTAATGTTTAATAACTGTCGCCAGTTCAACGAAGAAGGGTCTTTGATTTATGAGGATGCAAATACTTTAGAAAAAGTGTTGTTGGACCGATCCAAAGAATTAGGACCAGTACCATCAAAACCTACCAAAATGTATTAATATTATTCACATTGTATTTTAATATTTATTAATTTGTTTAATCATATTTCAGTATTTCAAGTTCAGTGATTAAACTAGGAAAGAAACCTCAACTTCCTCAGGCAACACTTCAAAAAATGAGAACGCTATTTAACACAATAAAAGACTTTAAAGATCAAAAAGGGCGTTTGCTGTCTATTATATTTATGAAACTGCCTTCTAAAAACGAGTACCCGGATTATTACGAAGTGATAAAACGGCCTATTCATTTAGAAGTGATCGCCCAAAAGCTTAAAAATAATTTATACGAAAGTCTTGATGATCTGGCCGCAGACTTTGTTTTAATGTTTGATAATGCTTGTAAATACAACGAGCCTGATTCCCAAATTTATAAAGACGCTTTAACGTTACAAAGACTCACATTACAAACAAAGTTACAATTGAGAGCCGATGAGGACAGTACACCAGACGTACAAAGTGCTGTACAAGAGTTGCTCACTTCTTTGTTTACCAGTGTTTATAATCATCAAGATGAAGAAGGCCGATGTTTCTCAGATTCTATGGCAGAACTACCAGAACACGACGATATTGATGGAAATAAGTAAGTATTCTCTAGTATATCATAAGCAGAGTTAAAATGTATATTAATTTTAATCTTTTTTTTGTTTATAATAATTTAGAGTGAGAGGTTTGTCTTTGGATTTAATAAAAAGAAGATTAGATGGCAATCAATACAAGAGATTAGACACATTTCAAGACGATTTATTTGCATGTTTAGAGCGAGCTAGGCAATTATCGCGCACTGACTCTCAAGTGTTTGAAGATTCAATTGAATTACAGTCATACTTTATCAGACAGAGGTATTTTTTTTAAATTATATTTTTGAATAATTAACTAGTTTATGTAATGAAATTTTAAATAACACAGTTGTAATTGCTTAAAACTATTAATAATTTAGAGATGAAGTTTGCCGCAATGGAGATCTATTGAATTCTCCTGCTTTGAACTATTCATTGCTGGATTTATCATTATCGGTTAATGATATGAGAGAGCGTAAAATGGCAGAAGAATCTATAAGTGGAATTTCCGAAGAAGATGAACTTAAAACTGAGGATATTACCCAAGAAGTATGGCTAGAGTTAGGCATTATTTAAATAATTTTTTACCCAGATGAAGTGATTAATAATTATTGTCTTATTTAGTAATTTATTATACAATTATTTATGACATAATTTTTGGTTTGAATACCTAATCATTATTTAGAGCCTAAAATGGTTCATGTACAAATTCGTTAAGTCCGGGTACACTTGTATGTTAAAACATATTAAAAATTGTGATCTCTAGTCAGAATAAAAACCCAAGATTACTTGCCCTTTAAGAAAGTGGTTTTAAGTTTTTTGATAAAATATAATAGATACAAATTTTAAATATATAGGATGAAAAAAGATATTTAATTAAATTTTTTATTCTTATTTATTTTAAATAAATTAAAAAATAACTAAGATAATCATTTTCTTTAAAATATAAGTTATCTAATATGTATTAAGTTAAAAAAAAATTATATTCTCAAATAAAAAATGATTATTTAATCATAAAAAAAGAATATTTAAAAAATGATTTATTATGCGATTTAAATTTTACCTTGCACAGTGTTGCTACCTATTTTTAAACTATGTTATTAACTCATTTTAAAAATGTTTTAAAATTATTTTAGGAACAAGAAAACGGGGAAGACTTACAACCTCAAATTGCTGGAACTACAGATGATTCGGTGTGTGTAAACCAGCTAGTGTATAGAGTTGGTGATTTTGTTTATGCCGAACCTCAAGAACGAGGTCAAGATCCAATGATATTAAACATTCAAAGACTTTGGACAAATCAGGAAGGTCAACAAATGTTGTACGGAAATCAGTTTTACAGGCCTAGCGAAACATATCACTTGTCAACTAGAAAATTCTTAGAAAAAGTTAGTAATCTTTTTTTTTTACAAACTTTATTATTACTTTATAAGTTATTTCAAATTATAATTGATGATTTGTATTTTAGGAGGTATTTAAGACTGATTTAAGTACTGCAATACCGGTTAGTCGAATCAAAGGCCGTTGTGCTGTTGTGAGCGTTAAAGATTATTTCCGTTATCAGCCAAAAGGTTTTGATGAAAAAGATGTATATGTATGCGAGTCCAGATATTCTTCAAGATGTAGAAATTTCAAAAAAATCAAGGTATTATACTTAATTAAATTAGTGACATATGTAACAAAAGTAAGGCGTTAATTTTTTAGATAAACAAAGATGGTTAACAACATTTTTTGTTATTATTAGCTAAGAGGTTGGTAAAATCATTGACGCTAGTGTAAATTACTTTTTTTTGTATTACAATATGTTTAAAATTTTTATTTTAAAATTAGGTAACAAAATAATCTTTGTTTTAGCTTATTATCAAGTACTGAAGCATTCCGCTTTTGACCACTTAGTATCAACTTCTTAGCTAATAATAACAATAAATGTTATAAACTTTCTTAAAAATCAACAAATATTTGGTTATCGATAAAAATTAACTCTTATGTAATTTAATTTCTTTGTAATGAAAATAGTAAAGTACAGTTTGCTTCAATTATAATTAAAATTTTTAAAAAATAATTAAAAAACAATGATAGTAATGTAACAAGTAAAGTAATTACAATACATTACCAAAAGTAACATGCCCAAAACTGCTTAACGATGGTTTAGGTGTTAATAATACCGCTATAATTTATTTTTTTTATGTAGAACTGGGCCTCAAGTTTAACAGCTACCTGGAATTTAGTTGAAAGAGATGAGCCGTTAGATCCGAAAAGAATAATGTCTGTATTTAGAGATCGTGTTGAGAAACACAAGGAGGAGATAGCCGAATTAGAAGAACATGAAAAAATTCTTGAAAAAGAAAAACCGGTATTTTAGCATTTTGTTTTATGTATAAATAAATCCAATATTATTTTTATTACAATTTTTTTTTAAATTTTATTATCATTATTTATAGAATATTGTTATGGCAAATCCTTCGGGTGTCATTGATGATGGAAGTATTTATTATGAACAGTACAATACTCAAATTGGAGTTTTAAAGCCAGGCGACTTTGTTTACGTGAAAAATGATGAACAAAATCAAATAATCCAAATAGACAGAATTTGGGTTAATAAACAGTTAGTTTAAAATATATCAGAAATAATAATAAGTTCATTAGTTAAAACAAAACTACTTGCAATTTTATTTTTAATTTATTTAATTTAAATGACTACACAATATTTCAGAGGAATCGCTAATATTTATGGTCCCATTCTCTTAACACCTTCGGAAATACCTAACATGGCTGGTAGGCAGTATTTCAAACAAGAAGCATTATTAACTAATATTGAGGAAACGGTGGTGGTGTCTAAAATTACAGGAAAGTGTTCAGTTTTAGAACATGCAGAATATATATCATGTAAGTACATAATATTAATTTAAAAATAAATAAATTAAAAAAAAAAAACATATTATGGGGGGTTATTTAAATAAAAAATAAAAAATACCTTTTGTGACTGGTCAAAAAAAAAAAAGGAACATTTTTTATAAATATAGATTAATTATGAATAAAACTCTCATTTTATCTTAAAATAGTCGTAACTTTTTGGAATCCCCTTAATAAAATATTCTAAATTGTAACAGAAAAGTGACAATAGTAACTAATTATCAATTTATTGACTAAAAGTGTTATAAGTGTCTAGTTTCTTCTACCCTTGTGATAAAAAAATAGTAATCAATAAACAGACTCTAAGAAACATAATTTGAAAAATATTTTAGGTCGACCAGCAGAAATAGCCGAGGCAGATGTTTATTTATGCGAGTCAATTTATGATGATTCCACTAAACAAATTAGAGAACTTCCTAAAGACGGCTTGAAAAAATACACACATTCCCCTGCTGTTAATCAAGATGAATTTTATTTCTTTAGAAGACTCATTCATCCAGTAAAAGTAAGAAATGTGTACATTTTTATTTAAATTTTTGTCGCATATTTTATACTTTAATTTTTAAATTGAGATTTCCATCTACTAATAATTCTATACATTTATTTAATTTTAGATCGGTGCTCCAGAATCTCATTTAGATTCAAAAGCTCCTTATAATCACATTTATGATTCGGTGTCTGTAAGTAATTAATTAATATAATTATTAGTAGCTAAAATTTAAATGTTTTATTTTTTATGTAGGGTGTTAGTTCTCCAATAATGCCAAAACTAGAACCGGCCGATACTATGACTGAGGACTCTATGGATGGTGGCCCGCCATCAGTTAGCTCTTCCGATTTAGGGGAACGAACTTTAAACACTTCAACAATTATATCTACGCCCTCATCGTCCAGAAAAAAAAACCCGAACCATAAAAAATTGGTCACTGGGTATATATTGTACACAAGTGATGTTCGAAAAGCCGTAGCACAGAATAATCCAGATCGTAGTTTTGGTGAAGTTAGTCGTATTGTCGGAAACGAGGTAACAAATTCAAGAAAATATATGGTAGTTGATTGTATATAATAAAACAAAAAATAGTCTATATTTATGTGATTGCAGTGGCGTAACCTTTCACCGACAGAAAAAATGGCATACGAAGAGCGTGCAAACAGGTTAAATGAAGAAAATTATCCACAATGGCGCCAACAGAATATCCAAGCTCCCCCGCCTGAAGGTTCGGATTTATTATGGGAATGTGGATGGGACAATTGTGATTGGCAATTTGAAGATCAAGCTGACTGTTTGGATCATGCAGTCGCCGATCAGTATGGTCACGTACAGACATTTTTTGCTGCAATTCCTCCCAGTGGTATGCAAACCTTGCACACTAGCTTAGTGCTTATAGCACAGTTTTTATTATATTCAACTTTTTTTTTTGCATGTAGAAATTGAGTATCAGTGCCAGTGGAGAGGATGCCTTCGAGTCAAAAAAACTGGAATTGCTCCATTTCCAAGTTTGCATCGTTTAGTCAGACACGTAAAAGAAGTGCACATACTAAAAAATCCTGGACGATCTGTGCCACTATCAGAACGCAATAAGTAAGAAAATCAATATTTTGGTCTCTAAATGAAAATTAAGAAACAACAAAATAAAATAAATTAAAATGTTTGTTTAATATTTATTAGACATTATTTTTTTATATCATATAATTATTTTTTGGGGAAAATAATTCACTTTCAGAAATTGTATGTCGACTACTCGCTCAGTCGTTACTACTACTACTTCTGCATTATCAGTGGCACCTCCGTCTCCACCACAGATTGAAAATTCAAATGGTCTGTTTTATTTTGTATTAAAATTCTATAGTTTTGTTTCAGCATGGTTTCCGCATTAATTTTCGCTTTTATCCATCCAATTTGTACAAAACGTAATTTTTTTTTAGATAACTATGAAATCAAAAATTAGATTATATTAAGTTATTTTATGTGAGATTTAAAAATTATAGTATTTATTATTAGTTATTTATGTGAAATTTGGTGTAACCATGTTAGCATTTATTTCATCATACTAGTTACTATAGGTGTGAAACAAACCATAGTCAAAGTAGAATGGTTTACTTGATTTATTTAGATTAATTTCTGGGTACTTTAGATTGGGTTTGGTAGACTTATTTGTTGTTGAAAGTATCATTAGTTATCACTTTTATTTTTATATTGTTGAGCTTGTCGAGTGTCGCTTTTATTATGTTGTATTTTGAACCGCTTTATAGAAATGCTGTCCAGTCTACTCGCCTAAAAAGAGATCAAATGACTCAAAATCAGGTATCTCAGCCACAACAATATTCAAATCAGCCTAGTAAGTTAAAATGCTATCATAGATTAAATCTTAGAGCCTGTGTTTATATAATAATAGTTTAGTTAAGTGCTTTCTTTTTAAACAATATACTTAGTATTTACTATCAATGTCAATTGTATTAAATAAACGTAAAATGGATTTTATATACCGTTGACAGTTGTATTATTAATTTTATAATATTTTATGTGTAGAGCTTTCTAGTTCTAGTTCTAGTCTTTGTAGTTTACCCTTTTGAATGTTTTAAAAAGTAAATTCTGTTCATAATACTTTTACATGTACTTAATATTTTACATCTGGGATAAAATTTATAGGTATATACCTAATAAGTAAAATAATGTATGAATCTTAATTTACAGTTGCAGGAACAATTGGAGTTTTAAACCAAGTCAATAGAAACACTCCGTCTCCTTTATCTCAAAATGGTAGTATTGTATCTTTTTATTTTTGTTGAATTTAAACTAATACTGTTTCTTCAACAGGTACAACCGGTAACAATGGTGTTAATGTGAATAAGCACCTTGAGCCAATATTTGTTACTGTGCCACCAAAACCTACAAGAGTATTTCATTCTGAAGCATATATTAAGTAATTAGCAAATTAATCATTAAAAATATACATCCTTTGGAACCAATGCACTTTACCGGACACCCATTTTTTGCCAAATATAGGTTTTTTTTATGCTGATTACGAATTTGAAGTCAGAATTAGGCGGACACCGTTAGTTCAAAAGTTATAGCTAGTTGAAATTTGCATATTTTCCTTACGTAACAGTATGCGGCGGTAGAGCCGTCAGGAGGTGGCGATAATTGATAAGGACGGCAGGTCTCCGAGTGTTTTGGCACTCGCTTGCTTGGCGCCGTCGCTTCGTTCCGCTAACTAACAATATCCTAGGTTTGCAGGTTATAGTCTAGGAGGAGATCACAGGTTTTAAGTAAAGTCGGTTTAAAAGGGCTCTAAAAGCCATGTCCCTGGTCCGGCATAAAAAAAAGGACCACGATGGGCGCGTACAGTTACATAGGAAAAATATGCAAATTTCAACTAGCTATAACTTTTAAACTAACGGAGTCCGCCTAATTCTGACTTCTGATTCGTAATCAGCGTAAAAAACACTAAAATATGGCAACAAAAAAAACAGGGTGTCCGGTAAAGTGCATTTATTCTCATCCTTTTTATACATTGTTGTAAATTTATTACATGTTATTTATTATAGATATATTGAAAGTTTGAATCTTGATAGTAAGCCCAGTTGGGAACGGCAACTTTACGCTACACAAGAAAATACTAAAGGACCCGACGATCCAAATTCTCTCCCAGCTGCTCAGTGGTTAGGGAAAGGTATCGGTAACCATGGAAATGTTCTTAACGCGCTGTGGGCGTTAAGAAACTTTATGATGAAAGACGCCATGGGATTATCTAAAACAGATGACTAATTTGTTAACTTCAAATGTAATTTATAAAACAGATGTATTTTTTACTGTTGAACTTACTTAGGAATAGACGTTTTTTTTTATTAACATTAAAGTAATTTTTTTTTCTTTGATTTGCAAAATACTTTATTTGGAATTTTTTTTTTACTTTTAATCTACAAAGATACACTTTTGAATTTACAACTATTTACCTATTATAAAATATCAATAATAAACATATTATTTATTAATTTATATTTTTATTTGTTTATTTAAAAATCAGTAACTCTTCCTTTTCGTTCCCAATCTCCATATCTTGTAGGTTCTGGCCCTTTTGGACCATTTTTTTCACCTGTCGTTGGATTACGCCCTTCAGGCCATTCTTTAAGTGGTTGCTTCTCTTGAAATGGATGCTTACCGGATTCTAATTCATCCAGTTTACCTATGTTTTAGAATTTTAATGTGATAAAAACTATTAAACATTGAAAACTACTAAAGCACTACTATGCCATATATGTAATTAAAATTGTATTCCAAGGCTCAAGCCCATCAAGAATAATTACATATCTTTTCATAAGTCAAACTATGTGTTATTAATTATTACCAATAGGCGTTTTCATTTTAATTTTTTCTATCAATTCTTCTTTTTTTACATTTGTCGATTTGTAATTTATTCGACTTAGCTGTACTGGCCAACTTTTAGTTATAGAAATCGCTCTTAATGAATTCATTTTTATTGCTATCAAACATTTGACATAATTAATTAATTAATTTAAGTTATAATTAATACTACTTCCGGCTTCATGATGCATAATAATTTAATTGAGAGTTATTCCAAATCTATGCGAAAAGTGAAAAGCAAAAGCACAAAAGATGATAATATTATCAGTTCCATTGCAACCAATATTAAAAACAGGTGTTTTTATTTTTGTAAGCTTAATATATTGTCATTGATAATAAATAAAAATTAAAATATCTTATCTTTTATCAATAATAGTGACAATTTATCTATTACTGATAAAATTGCGCGGTCAAAAGTAAGCAAACAAAAGTTGGTTGTCCTATAGTCCACGGCCCACAACAAGTAGCCAAGTAAAATATACGAATTGCTATGATTTAACTTTTACTTGGAGAGTAGAAATGGATGAAATTACAGATGAAATTGATAGAGTTGTTAATGTACTAAATGTATTGAAGTCGAGATACTTTTTATTACGTGCTAAATATGATGTTGGTAAGTGAATATTTTTTCATAGATAATCTTTTTTGCCAAATTAAACAAAATAAAACTTATATGTTTAGTTAATATTAGGGTTTATATTATTTATGGTAATCGCAGGGAGAATTTTAAAGTATCAGTTATACAAGACTTGTATTGATCTTATTTTTTCAGAGCTCAATTCTAAAATAATATATCCAACTAAAGATATTCACTCAGAATATCAATATGCGTCAAAAGACTTGCAATCATTTATCATGTTGGAACTACATCTCTTAGATTATGCTTGTACTTATGGACTATATTCAATGAATATGTACGCGACACGTTCAAGAACCAACTTGATAGAAAACGAAAAAGATCCTCATTTTTTAAAGTAATTTATTGCTATTTAATCATCTAGTACTCCTAGTGTTCATGGCTTTTAAGTCATGAATACTAACTTAACAATTCTTGACAAAATTGTGTTTAGTTTCTTAATGTTAATTTATGCTTTTCAGACTTTTAAAAGAAAAGCTTCGAAGTATAATCGAGACTAATCATGAAATTCAAGATATTTCTGTGGACTCTTATTTAGTTTTTTCTACTTACGTGAATTCATTTCTGGTGCGTGCAAACATTTTAAGAGGAATACAATTTTCAGACACACCATCAATTAACATGGCTCAGACAAACTCTGAAAGGTTTGTACTACGTGTGTTAAACATTTAAGTAAAAAGTTATAAACCAAAAACAGTAGAGTAAATGAGATCACAGGACTTAGGAATTATTATGATTGAATGTTCGTGTTGCAGTTTGGGTTTCAGCTAGCTAGTGTGGATAAGGCTTTACATGTAAAAACCGATTAAACAAAGTAAAATTATTCTTTACTTGGTTTTACAATTTTTTTTTCGAGTTCCGGCACTTTAGCGTGTGCTTTTTTTGTGTCCGTATACACTAACTTTTTTTAATACTGGACCAATTCCTTCGAGTAGCAACTCTATTAATCACAAATTTTATCTAGTTGGTACTTTGGGGGGGGGGGGGGGTAAAAGTTGAAAAAGTTTACTTCTTCACAGTTAAAACTTTAAAAAAAAACCATATGAGTTTTTAAGTTGGACCTTTTACTGGCTATAATTTTGAGAAAAAGAGTCGGATCGAGTTGAAATTTATAAGGAATATTTATTTGGTAGGCCCTCACACGTCAGTTGTATCAAATTTAAATTTGAAAGTGATTTTATCCAAGAGGACTAGTACAGTAGAGTTTAGGCATGATAGAATCAAAGTAACGAGGGGACGGAGAATTCACAGGTCTACAGGAATTATTTTAAATAAAAGTGATAAAATTAAATAAAATCACTTTCAAGTAAACGCTTTGATGCTTATTTGTAAATACTGCACCTCAATTTAATACTTTCTAATTTTGCTGGTTTATACTGTGCTTGGTTTCGACTGTACTGGCTTGAAAATACTAACTACACTGATTTGCATCAAAGCGTTTTTTCGAAAGTGGTTTTATCACTTTCAGATTTAAAAATTCCTGTAAACCTGTGACCTCCCCGACTCCACTATGCTCCAACACCACTGTAATGATTTTTTTTTAATAGTCATTCTAAATGCTTTGAAAATATTAACAACCCCCGAGGTCTATTGAAATTATTCACAGAAGCTTATATCAAGAATGTATGTTACAAGCATAGTTTAAAAAAATAATAAAAAAGACAAGTTATTTTATGACTTATGGAATGATACAAAATATTGTTCCTGGAACAAAACGTTCATATTGTTCTAAAAAGGCATAATTTAACATTACATTTTCTGTCATAAGTTCATTATCAGACTATCAGAATATTTATACTATTAATTGTTACAACAATAATATTATTATCTAAACGATAATATTCATTTATCAAATTATCGAAAAGTTGTGTCAATATATACTTGAGATCTAAGTTTCACTTCAATCACGCGAGACACACAGTTTTTTTTATTTAAATAACAAAATATTTTTTGAAAATGATGATTTTTTTGAAGTAGATACATTATTACTTAGCTCCTTTTATATGACAGTTTCAAATATTTTTTATGGTAATTTATTATTTCTATTTTTATTTAAATAATGATCAGATTACTTGTTAAAACCCAAAAGACTTCCAACTTAATTCTTTTTGTTATTATATTTAGGTTCATGAATGTTCTAAAATTGTATTAATTTTTATTACATTATTAGTAAGCCTTAGTATCATCACATAAAAATATGAGAATGGTTTTTATAGCCAAGCCTCAGTCAATATATTAGAGTTTGTGCGCATAATTCACTTACGACATCATAGAATATCACTATCAATTCTCATTAATCAAGGTATCATTTAAAGAAACCATTCAGAATAGAAACTTCTTTTTATTTAAATTGATTAAACTCAGCACAACTGCATGCAATTTTTTTGTCTATTACAAGATCTAAACAAGCAAATATGTATATTCCTGAAATTTAAAACTGAATTCAGAAAACGACATCCTTTTAATGTTAGTGTAACAAGTACCCATTACATTAACAAACTAGAAATGCAATTAGATGTAGACTAGTTATTGTTTACTAGCTAAATTGTGTAATAAAGAATAAATGTTTAGTAACCTAAGTTATTAATATTTAAATTTAATACTTCCTTCATATTTATAAATACCTCTAACATAACACGTATTATAATATAGGATAGAAGTCTTGTCAGTTGTCTCTCCAACAAGCTAACCTTACGCAGACAATCATTATAATATTGTAATATTATTATACTTAAACTTGTAATTGAAAAAAATAAATCTATCTATCTGTATACCCTGAAACATTATGTTTTACTTTTAACAGGAAAAAAAAGAAACTTTTGAAAAAAATTTCAAAAATTAACTTGATGGCCAACATTATTCAGTTTATCGTAGCTGATAATATAATGGATTATAGAACAGAAGAAGGTCAAATCGCATTAAACATATCACTGAAGTACAGGACGCCAAGATCGTTGGAATACTATACAAATAAAGTCAATTCAAAACAAGTATCCTAATTTACGTAGTGTAGAAGTGTAATTATAAATATTTTATTCCTTTTTTACTTTTAATTTTTTTATTGTTTATTTCTATAAATATGTAAAATGTAAAATTTATACACAAAGTTATGTACAATGTATATACATTTGGTTGTTTACGTATTTCGAAATAATGTATTTTTATATGAATCAATTACATTTGAAGTAATTATGAACTATTATAGTGTATGATATAACCCATCATTTTTTATATAACGTGTTCATTATTTCACAAATTTGATAAATTTTATTTTATTGGTAAAATAAACTAAGTACTAAACAAAGTAATATTTTTTTTTCATTTATTAAGTATAAATTTTAATTATAATAATAATGTTATGTTGAACAAAAAAAAAAAATATAACTAATAAACCGTAGAAGGTACAATTTTGTACAATTATACAAAATTTTACAATTAATTAACAGTTTTTATTTGTAAAAGAGGTTCTAGTGGAGGATAAGAAACTGAATGGATCACAAAAATACAATTTAATGGTAGGCAGACCATAACCACATACAAATATAATTTTCTTTTTTAAGCTCAACAGGGAATAACACCTTGTATGGCACAATTTTTTTTTTTCATACAAACATAGCTGGTTAAATTATTACAATATTGCTCCTGGTGTGTTCGGTTTTTTCACAGGGAAGAAGGAGGGGAAGTGCTCAACAACAAAAAGGTACTAATTTTCTATTTAGTTTTAGTTTATAACGGCCATCTAACAAAAATGATAGAAAATGTTCAATGAATACAAGCTAATTAGCAGCCACAAAAGTTTCAATTGAAATTATTATCTATCGGAATTTCAGACAGGGAAACAAACTTAATGGCAGTTTAATTAGTTGCTCGCTGAACATATTATACATAATAAAGAAATCTTAAACTAAATTTCAAGTAATAAATCAATTTATATACAGATACTACAAACTTTCAATTTAACTACATTCTTCTTGTTGCCGAGCATGAACAAGATTTTTTTATATACGGTTTATATATATATATATACATATATGTATATATATATATCAAAAATATATAATAATTATTCAACATTTACATTGTCGATAAAAAATATATGGTTATATGGTCCAAATTTCAGTCTTCAAACAAATTTATTTAGGGCAAAACATTCGTTATCACAGTGTCAAAAAAAAAAAATATATATATATATCTTAACCCTAATAAACAAAAGGGTTGTTTGTATGTTTTAATAATTGAGAAATTCATTTTTTGTAAAATGTTATTGGACGATTTAAAAAATATTTCTATGGTAGATTTAAATGTTTTATTACATCATCAGTGATAAAGAGTTTGATTTGAAGACTAGTTTCCACAAATGTAAACTTCATGGTAATTAGAAAAAAGCAAACAATTTTTTTATAGTCACAAGTTCAGCGTTCGGATTAAAAATTATTTTTCCTCAAATATAGTTTTAAACCTTACATTTTATTTTATTTTTCAAGATCAGCAACAATATTGTTTTATGAAACTAAGCATACAGCTATCATGAACAGGTATCCGACTAGAATTTTTTTTTTTTGCGCTATTCTCAGTAATATTTTGATGATATCAAAAGTAGGTAATAGACGAAAAACACTCGGCAGTTTGTTCTTCTTTAAATAACAGAGAAAAGCACAACAAATTACCACTACCTGCTCATGAACCAAAGTTGAATCTGATTGACAGTAAAAAATTTGCTATATAAAAAGTAGTGATGACATTATTGTTTCGATTTTATGTAACAAGTTTAAAATATTTAACCGGTAATAAAACATTTAAATTCGTTGCATATAAACTAGCTTTACTTTTATAATTTTTAGGTTCTGTTAAGTGAAATTTCCATTATAACTGAAAGGAAGAAATAAATTATTGTTGTTTTGTTTGGTAAACACAAAGTGTGATGCTGAATATACTAGAGCTAAAAAAAGGTTATTGCAATTTGCAGATGACAAAATAAAATCATTCAAATTGCATTTACTTAAACTGAACAATGACGAACATATGAATTCAAATTGAAAGGTAATGGAGCAGGGGCGGTATTTCCAATCGCAATGCTCCATCGTTGACTGAAGCATACTTGTGTAATAATAAATGGCAAGTACTTGCTTTATGAAAAATAATATTGAAAGAAAGTATAAAACAAATATTCATAAAACATTTCTTATTAAAAAAAAGTTTCCCTAAAAAATATGTCTAGATTATATTAGTGAAAGATAATTCGTTCAAATATGAAATCCTGACATATCAATTATTTTTGTTGTGTGGTGGCTTATAATAGAAATTTAAAGCGAGTATCCAACGTAAAAATACAAAATAAATTAAATGCACAGACTATAAAAACATATTGAGCATATTTTACCTATAAATTTGTCACCGTTTTCTATCATTTTTTTCTTCTGTTTGTGCTATGTATGGTACTAGATTAGGTTGTTTTTTTTATACAAAATATTATCGACTATCATAGAGAATAATAATTATACATTGTATTTTTTAAAAGAAATAAAAAAAAAATCGATTGCTCACAGGCAAGAAGAATCTGGCGTTGCAGTTCTAATTAACACTGGGTTGTGCTTATCATAATCATGCACCAGTTCTTTGATATGTGACAATTTATTATGCAGATAATCGAAACGTGCTTTAGCTGCTTGGTATTTATCGTCATGTTTTCGTTCATTATATTCTTGCAATATTTGGTTTTCTAGAATCTAAACATTAAGACAGACAAAAAAAAAAAATAATAATAATAATTTGATGCTACGAAAAAAACATTTAATTTGAATAGTTATAATAATATTATACCTTGTATTCATTTGAACCCTTGGGATAAAGCAGCATTTTGTCTTTTAATTTAGCAAACTTATTACGAACGGGATCCATAATCTCAGCTAGATGTTTGTATTCCTTATGACATTTCATGAATTCTGACTTGTATTGCTTTTTTTGATCCTTATTTGTAATTCGAACAAAATCTCTGGAAAATTTAATTATTAAATAATTTAATACAGATTTAATTGAAATTAATACAGAATTCATCAAATTACATTATGTTTATCAAAATTGATAAACCAATGCCTTTTTGATCTTTTGGAATAAATAAAATCTATTCATTTTTAAACAAATTTTCCCCAAGTCAAAAGATTGTACGACAGTTGAAGAAATGAGTAAATCAAATATTTTAATCACTTTGTAAACATTATTGGGGATAGGATTACCTCCAGATCTCTGGTAATTTTATATTTAAAACTAAAAATGTAGTCTTACTGTTTATATTTTGGTATAGTCTTGACAGGTACTTGGGTTGGAGACCGCATATACGACTGCGTACTGGAAACAATTGGGGGTGGACTATTTGACGATAGTTTTTTCTCGGGTAAAGGAGGTTTAAAGTGTGAGATGCGCATTCTTTTAGTTTGGAAACCATCAGCACAATTGTAATAACCAGGTCGTTTGTTACCATGCACATTACTAGGAGGACTACTGGGAACGGTGCTGCTTGGTGATTGTTCACTGCTACCTGAGCTGCCGGTGTCGCTCAAACCAGGAGGAGTTAAGTTTTGAGGCTTTCGTCTAAAAAAAATAGTAATAATACACAACATGAAAAAGTGGTTCACATTTATCCTTATTATTTTTTGTGAAGTTACCGTTTTAATACAATGTGATCTTGACCAGAATAAAAGGGCCAGTCTTCTTGAACATCATTCCAAACATGCCTAAGAAGATAATAGACATTATCTTTAAGTTGAGCTACTTGACTAAGAACTGTCATTATTTGAGTCCTATCTTTATCTTTTAAACCATCTAAAAAAAATGCACAAAAACAATTAGAACAAATTACAAACAAAGAAAAACTTATATTTTTAACAAACCTTTATTTAAAGTACTAATTAATTCTGGTTTTTTGTAAGGCCTTAATGCTAAAAGATGTATAATTCTGTCTCGTAATGGTTTTTTGCTAATGTCCGACGCATGATTGACAGGTGATGGGATGTGTGGGGGGATAGGTTTAGAAATAATAGGTTTTGGAACGTGATTTGAATTATTGTTAATATTACTAATATTATTAACATTATTAACATTATTAACATTATTGACATTATTGACATTATTGACATTATTAACATTATTAGTATTAAAGTTATTATTATGACGATTGGCTCTAATTTGGGCAGGATTTCTTCTGATTTTACGGCCCAAGGCCGATTTGCTATCAAGTTCAATCTCCCGTGTACTATAAACAAGAAAGAAAAAAATTGTAATTTATAGAAAATACATCAAAGTAGTCTTATTTGTAATCCACAAACAAACAAATATATGGTTATTTACAAATTACAATAAATAAAATATGATTGCCATAAAAAAGTAAAAATATAAGTACCATGATTTTTTATGCAATTCCTCAACTGCAACCATTCTATGCCTAGTGGCTTCATATACATCTTCATTTGCAAGTACTCGCATCCGCCTATTTAAGGTACCTACATACTCTAATGATCTGTAAAAAAATATAGTTTATAAATATTAATTAATTATTTAAAATAATATTATATACCTAGAAATAATTTAAATTAATAGTAAAATACTTACCTAGAGGTATTTTGTCGAATACATTCAAAACTGCTGCGAGGACCAGCAACGTCTGAGGTATTGGATAAACTAAAGTCGAAAGTATAATTTTTTGATATGCTCGGTACGCATAATTGCTATAAACATGAAATACAAATTTATCAACATGTGTTATTTTATCATATATGTTCTATTACTGTTTTATTTACTTACACCTTCATTCCCTTTGAATTGTATTCTAGGTTTAGGAAGGTTTTCCGAATTACCCTGAAACATAAATAAATAGATATACATTAAAACTCAAAATTATATTAAAGTTTTCATGCAGGTGGTTATGAGGGAAATTACTTTTCAAATATGATGAATGCAAAATTATAAATGATTAAAAAATAATATATAACATCCAACATTTGTTTGGAGAACTTTTTTACTGAAATAGAATCAGATAACAGATGTTTTAGCATGTGTGGTTATTTTCAACCCTTTTTGTTAGAAAAACACGTTTTAAGTAATTTTTAAGATAATCTATAAATGTATACATTTTCTGATTTTTATATCTATAATTTTATATTTTCTTTGCTGAATATAAATTAGTCTCAGAACTCATGTAGGCTTTTTTAAGCAAAAAGAAATTCTCATTTATGACAACTTAGAGAAAATAAAAAAAATAAACTAGATCTACAAGAAAAAGAGTATAGTTTTGGTGTGCAGTATTTCCTTAATAATGATATAAATTTAAATAACTTAAAATTTGAAACTGTGTGTGGTACTAAATCAATAATAAAGATCCAATGTTGGCACAGTCGCCGGTTCGAACCCGGCCACGGGCGGCATCTCTCTCTGGGCAGGTAACTGTTCTAAGGAAAGATACCGCCATCCCCCCCCCACCAAAAAACTTGACAGAAGCCTTCGGGCCTACTTCAGGACATTTACGCCATACGAAAAAAAAAGAAAAAAGTAGATACAATTTATAAACTATTTTTTTACCGAATTAGAATTGGTCTCAGATTTTTGCACCACGTTTGATTTTTAAAATCGCTTCCAAAGTTGTAAAAAACTGATAAGGTCCGACTTAGTAAGTATATGGTATAGGGTTTTTTTTTCGACTGCACGCTTGTCATTGTACCTTCTGAGTCAATACGAAAACACTGTTATTTTACTCTGTACTAAATGTCCATTTCAAAAAAACTTCTCATTTCCGACCAGATGCGTATGGATCTTGATGTTAAATAGAAATTAGCGTACAATTGGGATATAAATGTAGTATTGTACGTGTTGGCAATAATCCGTTTTTATTATAAAAAGCCCGACCCAGACAAGTATTTTAAGTGTACATAAACCTAATTACACCCATTAATATTTTTTGGCGATTTTTAATGAATTGCAATGTTTTCCTTGCACAAAATGATACGTTTAAGAAAAACAAAATAGAAAGACGTCAATACCCCCAGCCCTGAACCGTAAACATAAACAATAATCAATATACATATTATATGCTACATGGCAAGCGCATAGGTATTTTGTTTATCTTTCCAGTAACAACATACAATTTAATAAACACGTCAATGTTTTCCGTGGTATGTAAGATATGTCTGTGTGCGCCGCTACAAGGTATTGTACGGTCCAGTTCAACAATACAGTCGTGTGTCGTTACTTATAACTACTTGGACATTCACTAAATGCTAATTAATAATTAATACCAGCAATAATCGCCGGGTCGTTAATACACGGCACACTGTCATTATTCGTTTAAACGACGTTTTAGCGTGCAGGAGGACACAGTAGTAGAATAATAATAATAATAATAATAATAATAATAATAGTACTTAATAGTATAATGTAAAATACTGATTCTAGGAAGTTGCACAACAAAATTCGACGTGATCAATGTCACAGGTCTTGTCTTGACCTTTATAGTTTTTATGTATAGAAGTACCAAGCCTTTCGACTTCAAATTGTTAAATATATTGAATAATTAGCGTTCAACAGCTCGGATGTCATTGAAATTATGTCTTCACAATGCAAGAACAGACCCAAAAAAAATTTAGATTTCTTAATTTATGATTAATACGCGCTCCTGGGAAAATACAAATACTTCCAAAATTGAATTATTATATTATATACATGCTTATTAACAGTTTTCTTTATTTTTATAAAGTAAATACTTCAACTTTAGTAAACTTTAAAAAACAGTAACTTTCAATACAATACATATTATACAATGCTAAAATGTAAAACTAGATGCTCAAATATGAGCATCTAGTATCAATGTACTTTTGAGAGTACTTACAGTTGGCTTCCCAATCAGTATTAGTAACTAATCCTAACGAATGTATTCTTGGTTCTTATAAACGTAGGTCATTTATATAATTTAAAAAAAACCAAAATACGCCAATCGAAAGGGGAGAGCCTTAAGTAATACAAATATGTTGGGTTAGAATTGTAAATAGAAAACTAAGAACTATGTAAATAAAAAACTAAGAGGTAACTCTTAGTTTTTTATTTCAACCGTTAATTAATGGAATATTAGATTTTTATCTAATGTAGTACAGTCAAATTCGTATCCGTTTACAACATATGTACATAGTAAAACATGTCTCGTTGTATTGCTTAAAAATACAACTCATATTATAGCCATATTAAATAGGCGACATTCGAGGACCTTGAGTGAAAAATAAAATTACATTTCACATTACTCAAACAAATGCCGTGCATTGTATAATGGTTTTAATTTCAAATTATGTGTGTCCAACACACAAAAGGGTGCGTGCAAAGACAAATCATCTCATATACCATCCCCTGTGCTAAGGAATTCCTTTGTACGCTCATCATCGCAATGACATATTTTGCCCACAACAACTTCTAAGTAGAATGCCGAAATCCGTGAAAAAAAAAACACTATGATAGTAATGATAATAATATGGTTTTGTCGGTCTGGCTAGATGACGCGGGCGAAACTATAATTATATTTTTGTTTATTTATAAACGACTAAACGGTATGGAACGTTATTATTTTACGCTTACTAAATTTATGGCTACAAAGTAACACACAGTAATAATATATAATATACATTATTATTATCGTTAATAAAGACCGGCTCCACTGGCCAATTATTCGAATTATTATCTATTTTTTTTAATTACCCGCTGACCGCTTATTAATTGCACACTGTACAAGATTTTGTAACAAGAAACAAAAACACATTTAATTTGTCGGATTTATTTCAATCTGACCTTAGATTTTCAATAGCCTCGACTAGTGAAAATCACAGGGTTTCGCTATTGGCCGAGAATAAATATATATACAGAGTGATCAATTTAACGTAGGACACTCATTTTCTCTTAAAATAATTGCAATTTTTTAGATTTTAAAATTAAAAAAATATTTAAATAAACCCTTAACCACAAAAAAAATACTCAATAGCGCATACGTATTTCGGCAGCAATGTTTTAGTCTGTTCTGCGTGCTGATCAGTTGATGGTAACAATATTACTGCCGAAATACGTATACGCTATAGAGTGGTATTGTGGTTAAGGGTTTATTTAAAATATATTTCATTATTTTCTTTCTTTACTATACTGGGCGATTGGTTAACTATGGACCAGTCAATAACTTAGAAGATATGAGACTTTTTTTAATTATTTTTTTTTTATAATTTTATAGTTAATAGTTGGGACAAATTTAATATATTTTTAAAAAAATATAACTCCGTCCCTTATATGCTAAAATATTAAAAAGTTAATTTTTTTAAATAGTAACGTATATATTTGATTAACATTTTAAATTAAAAATAATTTGCTGAATATTTTAACTGGTCGATAACCAGTTTTGGATAATTAGTTTCAAAGTTATTAAAGTTTAAAATTTAGGACGGGAGGAAGGGTGGAGAGTAGAGATGTTTTTATCTGCGCGCATTACTCAACCGCCCTTCCCCTCCCGTTATTACTTTTAAAATTACTTGAAAAATCGACAAAACTGGTTATATTAATTTTTCTTATTTTAAAAAGTTAATAAAATATGTACGTTACCATTTAAAATTCTTAAGCTCATACGGTTTTAACATATAAGGGATGGGGTTATATTTAAAAAAAATATATTAAATTTGTCCCGACTAATAATTATAAAATTATAAATAATAAAAAAAAAAGTCTAATATCTTCTAAGTTATTGACTGGTCGATCATAGTTAACCAATCACCCAGCACATAAGCCACAAGTTATGCTTAAGTTTTTTTCTAGATTTTTCTAGATATTTATTTTCGAGATACTTTATTTCATATTTTTCTTTACAACCTTAAGAAATTTTCTGAAACTTTTGCCTGGTCAATAACCAGTTTTGAATAATTAATTTTAAAGTAACTTAAGTTGAAAATTTAAGACAGGAGGAAGGGTGAAAAGTAGTGTTATATTTTTTAAACTCACAAAAAACGTCACTGAAGAAACAATGTTCAGTCTATAAATTATTATAATCGTTGTTTTTATATTATTTTATTGAGAAGTTGATTGTCATGTTTAATTGCTCTTTGAAAATTTGTCTCGTGTCTATCACCAAATCCACTCTAAGATTTATAAACCTAAAAATAATTCTGATTAGTGTTAAAGCTGAGCAGCGTATAAATATACTAGACCTCATGTTCGAACAAATTGTGTCATAGAATTTGCATAAACCTAGGAAGCTAGGAAAACGTACATTATTTTTCTCCTTTTTTTTATTATAAATATATATGCTATTCACTAGTGTCTTTATCTTCTACTAAAGGCCTAGTGGCCTTGTCGTCGAAGGAGAGTTGCTATCCCAGGGAAGTGGGTATAGTGCGGTGATTTCCCGTTGTCTTCCGCACCAGTCGGGTGGCCATTTCTCTCTCCAGACGGTAGCACGCCCAGCTAGAAAAATGGCTAGCCACCAACATTCGAACCACGGCTAGTGCGTAAAATCATTGCCGCGGTAACCCTCACTAGTGTATTTAGATTTTAATAATTACATAATTTTCCTCGATAAAAACTAGATACCGATTACGCATAGAAAATACTCAACGAATAATACGCACATTGAGTGTTATATTAATTATCTATGTACTAGATTCGTATTATAAATATCAATCGGATAGAGAATCGAAAACCAAAAAGTAGTTACATCGTGTAATAATTTGATGTTAAAACTATGTCATAAATACTTGTTTACATTGTATGACAAAATATTATACGATAAGAGCTCATGACCGAAATCATATTTATTACGATTTAATTTGCACAATAAGAAACATTAA